GTCGTCGTCGTCGTCGTCCTCGTCGTCCTCGCGGTGGTGGTGGTGATGGTGGTGGTGGTGGTGGTAGCCGGAGAAACAGCAGTGGCTGTGGTTGTCATTTTGGTTGTTGTTTTTGGTGGTGCTGCTGCTGGTGGTGTTGGTGGTGTTGGCGTTGGTGGTGTTGTTGGTGTTGGTATTGGTGGTGGTGGTGCTGCCGCTTTTGCAAAAGATTTCATGATCTGCGTAAGCAGGTAGAGACCACCGCCATTGCATTTGTGTTTGTCTACAAGCGGGTTACCCCCAAATCTTATGATTGATCACCATTTTCCGATTGAATATGCCATCAAATGGGGATTGCGCAACCTGCTTTTTCCCCTCTTCCTCACCATGTCTGACCGAGGAACAACTGCAGTCCCACGGTCCATTGGGCAGCTTTCTCCTCAGTCTTTAAAGGCATGGTGAGATGATCCTAATAGTTTAGAAGTGGTAAACTTGGAGGATCATCCCACAGATTGTAGCGGAAAACCCTAGTTCCTAGAAGGCCAATCATGGGGGTTGTCTCGCTTCTGAGAGGGGCAGCTACTTAAAAACCAGTTTGAATCTGCACTTCGGGGAGGCACAGCCGCTGCAAGATTGAAAGTTCCATTCACGACTGCGGTTGTTGTTGAATCCCAATAAAAAAACAAGTGAAATTAGGACGCGAACTTTTCCGCACCTGGGGTTGGTTGAATCATTCTTTACATAATATAATTGCCCAAAAGTCGGATGAACATCCGTAAGCTGTTGGACGCACCCATTCAAAAAAATCAGCCGAGGGGCGCATGCACTGATGGCCGCGGAATACAAAATCACCTCATGGCACCGCGGAAATTCCAATGTGTAGGGTGCCCAAAGAATGGGTTTCACCTTTTCGTTGATCTGTTTCAAAAACTTTGAGTCCCTGGTGGGTGACCTGGCGAATCCATCTTACTGCAGCTTTTTGTCCAAAACAGGTTGTGGCTATCATTCATCCAGTTAATAGGGAAAACTATAATAATCCCATAGATTTAGGGGCGCCCAATTTTCAGACATGCATGTTCTGGAAAAACGGGGGTAAAAAAAATCCCAAATCGGGATCCAACCATCAGGGATTGCATATCGATTCCTCCCCAAATTTCGGAATTTGCCAAGTGATTGCCAAGTGATGATTGGACCAAAGGCTGTAATTTCTTCAAATCAACATGTCTCGGGGTGAATGACCCTAGTTCTTCTCAGGCCGCGTGAAGAAGCCTGCAAAAAGTGCATTGGAAGAGATTCTCAAAGTTTTTCAAGCTAAGATTTCTCCAGTTTCATCTACCATGAAAACCAGGCGAGAAAAATCCGAAGACTCGGAGCAAATTCCTATCTCGGCGGTTCCTTGGTCTCTTCAAAGTTCAAAATTTAGTGAGACATCCCGGCAAATCCAATGCAGGAAATGTGATACTCTATTCGGCTGGCTGCATTCCGTCCCAAAACAAGAATGGGTACCTTCAGGTAATTTAACATAGCCATTGAACATGGTCCATTTAGTTCATTGGTTCACCAGATGGTAACCGCTTTGATCCATCATTTAAGCTAACCTCAAGCCCAGCTTTGCCAGGTTGCATCCAGCTGCAACCTCGAATCTTCAGCTTCCTGAAAGGGCAGGAGGCCGCGTTTCTGGAGTCATCAAATATTAGGCCGGCTGAGAAATCCAATGTAAATGGGCATGTAAACCAGGAAAGTCATCTACAAATGGGGCTAAACATGGGATAACATCCCTCCATGTGTGGCTAACAGTTGAACCATCAAGTGCAACAATGAGCAAGTTTTACCAAACTCTTTCAAACTCTTTCGGTTCACCTTCCAACAGCAAAATAAGCTTTCACCACTTACCAAGGTGGTGAACAGGCCCCATTTTTACCTGTTTTCGCACGCAACATGCTGTGTCTTGTTAAAGCGTCGATCTATCCGATTTTGACCCTGCCCAAAACGGTTCAAAACGTAATTTCATCAAAACCCGACTAGCTGGAGCTTCGGCAAGGGACCTGAACCCAACATGCTTGATCTAATGTGAACAATTATAAAATTATAGAATTCAGCCAACACTGGCATAGCCCAGTTGGTGGACTTACTAGTAACAAGGTGGGCCACTTCGTTGGCTCGGCTGATAACTAGCTTGGCTACGGTGTATGGCAGATATACCTGTAGATAAAAACAGAGCTTAAACTCCAACCGGAAACGGGGGCACCGCCGTGAAATCATGTTCTGTTGGTAAACGCTAGAGCCGCCGGTGTGGTATGCCATCTATTACCATCAAGGCGGGGTGACCCTGGGCATCTGTGTTACGACGTTCTGTTTCCTTCAGCAAGTCATGGAGGTTTCCTAAGTCATGGGGTCTCCAAATCATAAATTTCCATCGAATTTCCATGTTTTCAACCAGCTAGATCTTGGGGATCCCTCATGACTATGGAAACCTCCCTCCATCTACCAAAATTTCACTTGTCCCAACAGCATTGGAAGAAGAGGTTCGATTAGCAAGTCCAATGCATCTTGCCAGGCCTCGCTAGCGTCGCCCGTCTGGAGGAATGAACAATCTGAAACTCATTGGTGGTATCGAAGCCCGTTGAAGATTATTGTCATTGGCGATCATCAATCGAAACAATGAAAGGGAAACATCTTTGGAAACAACTGTCACAAACATTGTCAAGATGGGCGTTCAGCGAGCAAAAACTTGGGTTTATTACCAAGCTGGAATTAGGATACAAGTTAAGATAGAGCAATCAAAATGGTGGTCCACCAACAGAAGTGTGGATTTCAAGGACAACATGGTTTTATCCAGCACCGGAAGAGGGCCGGGAAACCAGGCGGGATTAAACAGAAAAACGCGATAACACAATGCAGCCAATAGGAATTTCAGGTCATGGAACCGCTGGAACTCGAGGGAAGTTGACACAATCACCGACAACACCATTAGGCTTGTAGAACCGCAAAGCATGAAAGGATATGAACATTTCCTGAAATATGGGTGCCCCTAACCGTTGGTTTTCCAGTGGTAATAGCAAATTTTGGATGATTTCTGGGTGCCATTTGACCGAAACGCATCAGTATCGCCAGTAGAGGGGATGCCTTGAGCATCCAGGCTGTCAAGGACAGCCTGTGGGATTTACTGACACATTTCCGATGATTTTCCCATCGCTACCCTCTAAACGGATCTAGATTTCACCATGCCACCCTTTTGCAACCAAGCAACCGCGGATTTTTCGCATGCAGTGATGGCTGCGCTGTAGGTGATAACCTCCCCAGCTGCGCGGCAACGTATTCATGTGAAGATGCGGGCTAGGCATGGAAATGGTTCATAATTGTCAAGCTAGTCAATAACTGACAATAAAGTCATAGTTGATATATTTATATAATAACAGATTATTCAACGGAATATTTTACGGCTGACGACGGTTCAGGACATGATGATGTTAGCATCACTGTCCCGAGACCAAGTTTGGCGCTTCAATGTTTGCTAAATGCTAAAGAAGCCTCCCCGATATTCCTGCAGGCTGTTTCCTTTTCTTCAATCCAAACAATATCTTCCATGCAAAGCATTCGAGGTTCCGGGTGCGTGTAGGTTGTTAGCAAGATGCAGGTCCGATATGTTCCGACACACCGCGAATGCCCCGAGAGCACCGTTTCCACCAAGTCCATTTTCGTAAGAAATCTGATCTTGTTGTAGAAAGAACAGCTAACCATAATCAGTTCCAACAACCATTCACCATTCACCACATTACTTCATTCACACAAAAACATTTTGGGCCCCACTTGGATGTGCATTCCAGGAATCGCAAATGGTTGATAGACCCCTTTTCAGACTGGGAATATCGCATGAATAAAACTAGGGTATAGCGTGGTTGTAAAACACTTGGAGTCACCCCAAAAAAGGTTGTGCTCTAACTTTGGGAAATCCTTTCAGGCTTGTATTTAGACCTGTCAAATGGAATGGGGTGTTGTGCTTCGCGATCTCAGGTACACGCCCGTTAGGGTAGCCACGGCTGTGTTTGTGGGGTTTTGTTGTGCAAACATGTCTCTTCTGCAAACCTGATACTCTGAGTGTCTTGTGGAGCGCCGACTATAATCCCTGGAAAGTGGTGATCTTTGGAAGTTTCTCTGCTCCCGCCAGCGCCACCTTGTCACACTCACCTGCTTTTGCCCGGATCCAAGCAGCGTCGTCTGCCCAGCCAGACAGAAACCTTTTTGGATCATCCCAGTGGCTGCCTCTGGTTACGAAGTCCCCGATTCGTAGCTTATCCCATTTATAACTGGTTCAAAAATGGTCACTAACCACAAACGCGATCCATGAAATGATCCAAGTTCCCATGAATTAACCCACTAACGATTACCACACCATCATTTATCAATATTAACCATTACTAATCATTGTATATCCAATTAATTCCCATTAATAACGACTCGATTTCTCACACCAAGGTCATGAACAGCGAGTCGTAGACCATAGAACTCACATAGTTATGAAATAATTTCCCACATGGAAGTGTCCAATCCATGCAGATATGTAAAAATCATCCTCCATTTTTGCAGATGGATTTTCCATCAGCAAATCCGTCCAAGTATGAGTGTGGGACGCTGTGGGTCCCCAGTTTTTACGTGATTTTTAGCTGCTTTTTACTATTTTTTTCTAGTTATTTATCACTGATTAAGTTTCTAGTCCTAGTCTCAAAGAAACATCATATTAAACAATACCAATGGAATCCCACAGGAACCAAATAGAAGTCCCATAGAAATATCATAGAACTACCATAGACATTCTCAAGACACCTCATGGAAATCCCATAGAATTCCCAAAGAAATCCTCTGAACATATCATAGAAGTACCATAGAAATCCTGTTTAAATCCCATAGGAACCCCATAGAAATATCATAGACATATCATGGAAAATCCCACAGAAATCCCCATAGAAATATCATAGATATAACATGGAAATAGCATAGGAACCACAAAGAAATCCCATAAGAATACCATAGATTTCCCTCAGGCATCCCATAGAAATTCCATAGAGATATCACAGAAACATCATAGAAACACCATAGAAATCCCATAGGAATCCATTGGAAGTCCCATAAGAATACCATAGAATTTCCATAGTATTCCTTCAGAAATCCCATAGAATTGCTCCAGAAATATCATAGAAACATCATGGAAATTCCATAGGAATACCATAGAAATCCAATAGGCATACCATAGAAATATCAAAGAAATCCAAAATAAATTTCATAGACATCCCATGGAAATCCCTTGGCTGGCTGAAGCTCACCCTTAGGAAAAAACTTTTCATTTAGACATTTTGAGAATTCCAAAAGAATGAGCTAAGAAAGTAAAAAAGAGAAACGTATTAGCAAAGGAAAAGGGAAGGAGAACATGATTTTGGAAAATGTTTACTGCCAAAAAAAAAGCTGGACACAATAGAGGACCACCACAACAAACATACTATTGAAGATCATTGTCATTCATGGATTTTGTTGGTTGGCTGAAGTTCATCTTTTTTGGGAAACCTTTGGTCTTGATTCATCTCTTGCTCATGGACTACCCCTTGAAAAAAATGTTTGGATGTTGTTTTTTTCACTTTAGTTTGAATTTATTTTGAAATGGTTTCAACTTCCTTTCAATTGGCACCCCATAGTAATCCCATGGAAATATCATAGAAATCCTTTAGGAATCTCACAGAAATCCCATATAAAGATCATAGAATTAACATGGAATAGCACAGGAATCCCACAAAGAAATCCTAAAAGAATCCCATAGAATTCCCTAAAGAATCCCATAGAATTCCCTCAGGAATCCCATAGTAATCCCATAGAAGTATAGAAACATCATGGAACTCCCATAGGAATGCCATAGGAACCCCATAGTAATCCCAAAGAAATCCCATAGAAACATCACAAAGACACCTTAGAACCCCCATAGTAATCCAATGGGACTCCCATGAGAATACCATAGAATTCTCATAGCATCCCTTCAGAAATCCCATAGAAATCCCCTAGAAATATCATAGAAACATCATGGAAATCCCATAGGATTCCAATGTAAATCCCACAGACATCCTTTTGAATCCCCATAGGAATCCCATAGAAATACAATCGGCATCCCATAGAAATCCAATAGTAGTCCCAAAGAAATATCATAGAACTACCATGGAACCCCACAGGAATCCAATAGAAGTCCCATAGAAAATATCATAGAACTACCATAGACATTCTCAAGACACCTCATGGAAATCCCATAGAATTCCCAAAGAAATCCTCTGAACATATCATAGAAGTACCATAGAAATCCTCTTTAAATCCCATAGGAACCCCATAGAAATATCATAGACATATCATGGAAAATCCCACAGAAATCCCCATAGAAATATCATAGATATAACATGGAAATAGCATAGGAACCACAAAGAAATCCCATAAGAATACCATAGATTTCCCTCAGACATCTCATAGGAATTCCATAGAAATATCATAGACATACCATAGAAATCCCATAAGAACCCAGTGGAAGTCCCATAAGAATACCATATGAGGCTGTAGCAGACAAGATGGCCCAGAGAGCCACCTAGAGCCACCAAGATAGCCAAGATAGCCCATCTAGGGGAGGGGGGGGTCAGCCCAATTTTTTATTTTTTTTTTCGTTTGTTTTCTGTGTGGCTCTTTCTTTCCTGTGAATTAGAAATATAATCAGAGTCAGGTGTTCCTCAAGTCTGCTTGTTAGTGACACTACAGATTCATAAGCATGAATTCCGTAGACGTAACATTTTTCCTAACAAAGATTCATATGTAATCTGTCACGTCGTCTGTCCAGACATGTGGAAACGTGGGAGCTGAGAAACGTGGGGACTGAGAGCGTCCCTTTCTGCCAAGTATTGGGGTACCCCCATGACTTAGGACCCCAACATTCACCATTCTTAACCATTATTCACCAGAAAGTATATTCACCATTCATAATCACCTTATTCACCATTAGTAACCATTAATAACCCACTTATTAACCATTATTGACCATTAAAATTCCATTTATTAACATTATTGACCATTAATAATCCCCTTATTAACCATTATTCACCATTAAGAATCCCTTTATTAACCATTATTGAGAATTAAAAATCTGCTTATTCACCACTATTGAACACAAAAAATCACTTATCGAATTTTTAAACCATTATTGACTATTAATAATCCACTTATTAACCATTATTGGCCATTCAAAAGCGACTTAAAAACAATTAATCCACTTATTAACCGTTGTTGACCATTCATAATCCCCTTATTAACCATTATTGACCATTCATAATCCCCTTATTAAGCATGATTGACCATTCATAATCCCCTTATTAGCCATGATTGACCATTAAAAATCCACTTATTAACCAATATTGAACACAAAAAATCTGCTTATTAACCATTATTGACGATTCATAAGCCCCTTATTAACCATTATTGACCACTAAATATCCACTTATTAACAATTATTGACGATTCAGAATCCCCTTACTAACCATTATTGTCCAGTCATAATCCCCTTATTAACCACCATTGACCATTCATAATCCCCTTATTAACCATTATTGACCATTCATAATCCCCTTATTAACCATTATTGACCATTAATAATCCCCTTATTAACCATGATTGAACATTCATAACCCATGAGGTCTGAGGCGTGTGCTTCCAACAGGTGGATTCGTCGAGTAAGCCTCATCACCGTGGCTTGCTGCACATTGATCGTCTCCTGGTTGAGCTGGACCTGCTGACATGCGTGTGCAAGGCACTCAATGTACTCCGGCTCCGGGAGGAGTCTGATTGTCAGAGTTGACGTGTACACTGATAGTCGATCGAGACTTGCCGGAGCTATGTTCAGCCTTGAGAAGGAACGGACGTTGGAAGAATGTACGCAGCATTAACCACTATTGACCATTAATAACCCATTTATTATTTTTAATATATAAATATAAATATGAAGATGTATATATATATATAAACAAATCTGTTGTTGGTTATCCCCTCCATCGCTCCGGCAAGGTCGAGCAACGCTGTGTTTCAGCTTCCAAGCGCCAACATCTCCAAAGACCTGCGAAGACGCTGTGTTTTCAGCCGAGGTGCCGTACGTTGGTGTGGGAAAATACTTCCCTGGGTTAATGGTGACTAATGATTATGCATGGTTATTAATGGTGATTAATGATGGTTAATTCAACAGGATGGTGCCCCCAAACGTTGATGTTTGTTGGTTCACAACCCCCGTGAATACTAGTTCGTTATATCATGTTATATCTACCATAAACAATAGAATTCAGCCACTGATATCTCAACTGAACGCTATCATGGGGGGCCCCATCCTGTAAACCATGGCATAGTTTAAATCATAGTTTAAACCATGTCCTTTATATATTAAGAATGTTTGCCTATAATTAAACAAATATTAAGCAAGAATATTTGGGGTGTCAAAAAGATAGAAGCGGAACACCCAATAGGACTTCAATCCATGAACAGTAGAACTTTAAACACCAAATAATATTCCACTACAGTGTCTTACCACTATCTTGCCTCATCTTACTGCGGATCCGCATCTTAAAAGATCGGAATTCATTTCATGTTGCTTCTATGTTAATCAGGACTTCCCTTGCATGAAAGATGCAGTTCAAATACTTTGGACGATTCTGGAAATATTTCGTGGGAAGCATGTTTTTATCCTAAATGTAGTAAGGGACAGCCAACCACTTAAAAAGAAATGGTATGCTCCCTTCCCCCAAAGAATAAAATATCCAGGAATCCAGTTCCCGGATCGTGCCATACCAGTGGCCCTAAGCCCTTTCAAATTGACGTTTGACGTTGTAAAACAAAAACCGTTTTTTGAGCGGAACTCTAAACTGATTCACGCAGCTGGGCAAATATTGCAAATAATTTTTCCAACACATCTAATGATGGGCTGCTGACATAGTATGTGATTTCGGGAACTATAAACTGGGACAGTTTGGCAGAAATCTGAACCCAGATTTGTGGGGGCCTATTTCTGGAAATCATATTCCTCACCGAGCGTCATATCTACTGTGGCCGGCCAATAAGGTCATAATCATTTGCCCAGAACAACAATGGTTGTTAGATATGGCTGGTTGGTAGTTGAGCCCCGCTGAAAATAGGAAAGTCACTTCGAGGTAGGATGGAAAACGACACATATTCCAAACCAAGAACCAGTTGAGAAATATCGTCAGATACTTCAACTTCAAAGGTCATCCCCCCAACATTTCAGCAAAGTGGCTGCAAAGAGTGATAGGATACCTTCCAGAAAAACTCGCAACATGCTCCCCACATCGAGGCTCACGCCCGAACACTTGGGTGACCGAAGGTCGTCAAGGTTCGCCCTCTTGAGCGCGTCCCTCAGGGTCTTTTCGAACTCATATCGGGCACGGTTGCCAGCCCAGCTTCTGTCGAGAAGCCGTAGGCCCCCAGGAAAAGAATTTCTCCACTGCAAACCTCATGTGTACGCAGCTGCGGTCTTCCTGTCGCCTGCCAGCTTTTTCAACCTCGTGTTGTTGAGGCAAATGCAGGCAGAGCCAAGGTGCGCTGCATAAGAAGCCTCCTGCCGGAGCCTCTCGCATGCCGTGGCATACGCCTGAACCTCCGCCGCGGCAGCGTGCCCGGAACGGGACTCGAAAGTGGTTTCCAAAAGGCCACACCGGCAGACATCCCGCAAGCTTTCCAGAAAAGGATTGTTTGAAAGCCACCAAGACTGTTTTCCAATTACAAAAAGGGAACCTCAATGACAACATACCCTTCCCAAGAAGCCTCTGAAATATTTCCAGCCGATACATCATTGATTTTCCAGGTTGTTCACAACTGACCAGAGGGCCAAACTGAATACATAGGTGGATAAGAAAAGCCTCTCTAATAGCTAAACGGTTTCCACGAGCAGTGTGAACTTCTTGGGGATCAAATCCAAAGGGTTTGAGTTTGGACCGAAGTCTTCCTCTCTGGAGGATCATCCAGCTTAGTAAATTGTTTCAACTCTTGTCAATGTACTCAATACGATAATCCCCGATTCGTATGTTATCACATTTATAACCGGGGTATAAGGTCATTTACTAAACACCAACACGATCCATGGGGTGATCCTCCAACGTGACCTTTTCACCACGCCTGCCGCGCAGCGGCAAACTGGCTGGCTTTTCTGCAGGTGGTGATGCTTGCATCGAACCTGGGCGTTGAAGCTGGCCAGATGGGGGTGAAACTTCTTGGGGGTGCAGGCCAGGAGTTACTTTTATGGGTACTACCATGGTGAGCGAGACCCCTATAAGTTGAGATATAAGCCTTACAACTATGGTGATGCATGAACTTATGCACTTCCAAGTTGTTGGTAAAATCATCAACTTTTAAATAACTATTCTTATGGGTGACGCGCGCCCCCGCAGAATTGTATTGTTGTCATGATAGAGATGTCAATCAAAACCCAAGTGAAACCAGTAAACTACCTTAGTCGCTACAAGAAGGGCCCCGCAGAGGTAAGTTGGTCTAACCCATCTAACTTTAGATATATCCACGGGGTCAGAACTGACTGCACGGCTATGCGTTTTCTAGGGGTTGTATTCTGACATGTGTTGTACTTAGCTTTGATGATGCAGCCACCTATCAGAATTGCGTACTACACACTCTCAAACTGATAGGTGTCTCTTCAAGGATCCGCCGGGTTCAAACAGTCACAAGAACCAAAGATTGAAATTTGAAGATGCCGTGCGGATCTGATATTCTCAACGCTCCAAACACCCATGGCTTTGTAGATGAAACCACGGCCAATTCAGTGGACCATGGCTGAGCTAACCCCGACTAACAAATACTTTCTTGTAGGACCCCAGCAAGATGTACAGACTTAGAGATCCACCACTCATTTTATCTTGCGGTTTGCCGTGCTTCCTTCACAAGTCCATTTCCCCCTGGGCAATTTACTTGTGAGTTCCCGAAGCATTAGGTGAAGCCAGTGCGCACAAGAAATCTATCGGGGTAAGCCCAATGTAGTGGTTTATCCTGGGTCATCCCAGGTCATCTTTGAAGATTTCGGTGGACTTCCCCTCCATGGAGCTAGAGCAAACTACCATTCATGTGCAGCGCGTGACTTATGCAACCATCATCCCGCACGAAATCAGCTGGGGCGAGCAGCGGTACCACATTCATCTCGAAGCGGCTCTCCTGGTCACCCAGATCAATGACCATGCAACAGGAAGCTAAAATTAGAGGTGCCGCCCATAAAAACAATGAAAAACTTAAGGGAATCCCCGCAAAATTTTGGCTTCAATGGTCCAGTACCTCATTTCAGGGTCCTGAAATTCCCAGCGGAAGATCAATGTGGACAAGAGTCCAATTTCCATTCAATGGAGAACACCTTAAAGTTTGCCCCATATTGCCCTCCCCACTACCTGGCTGTTTTGCAGGGGTATCCCTCATTTTCACACACACCCACGTTCGTTAGTTCAATCCGCATTGGTGCTGGCTATTTGTGCCAGTCAAAACTACCAGCCATGAATCATTTAACATGTTCATTTGGGTATGTGGGCAGGCACCCCCAAGTTGTGGCATCTTTGCATTTTTTAACATTTGATTTTGATGTTTTCCTTACGGAAAACAAACTCAAATTGACTTCGTGTGGCCAAGCTTCAAGACCCACGGGATCGCAGATGTTTGGCCGTTCTTCAAGATTACTGTACTGCAATTGTATCCAGACATTCTTTTACAAGCCTACATGATCTTTATGTTCAATTATTTTCATATCTGATGCCTATTGGTCAACAGCCAGGCATCTTTCGGCCCACCTCAAACTTGCAATTTATGGCCCAGTCGAACTATTCAAATATCGTCACGGCTGGTTTTTGATGATTGATAAACCCCACATGGGGATGAACCAGTACCTATTATACCATATCTTTTGTGAATGAGCATCCGGTTTCCAGCTATTTGATAGGCTACTGATCGGGGTGAAGGGGCGCCATTACCCCTACCTATAATATTCAGCCCATGTCTTTACTGAAACCAGGTTCAAACCCAAAACTAGGAGTTTGCAATTTCTCAGATATGGTCTCAGCTCCATATTCCAATGTTTAATACGGGATGGTGCCTGCAAATTAAAACTTGGCTTATAAACCCAATTGACTACAGTTCTATCGACCATAAACCATAGAATTCAGCCATCCTGTACCCATCAACCGCAAACATCGCCTGAATCTCTTCCAGCAACTGCACAGCGCCATCCCACTTCCCTTCGCCGGCCGCGGGTACGGCAGCGCTGAGGCAGACCAGGTCTGGCGTGAGGCCGGCGCCTGAGAAGTGTCTGGATCTGAGATATACCAATTATAAACCAACGATGTGCATATTAATTTGATGAACGAACCAATTATACAGATATAATATGATCCAATGTATCTCTATAGTTGGTTTGATTGACCATATATGTGAGTGAATATGCGTATTTGATACTTATTTATCTATCTATCTGTCTATCTATCGTGTCCAATCTAAACGAATCTAACCTCATGTAATAAATGAATATCTAGGAATGCACACATGAATGGTACAAATTGGCTTTGCGTATCATGGACATACATACATATACAGTATACACCATTCCAGCAGTGCTTTCTAAAGATCTCAAGATATTTCAAGCGGTTTAAATGAACGCATGGGGAATACATGCATGCGTCCGTACATACATGCGTACATATGTACATACAAGCAGACAAACAGATGGACGTACATACACATGTGGTCACTCTCTTTCTCTACATCTATGTAACCATATCTGGTGTGCTATATATATGGGATAACCACACGGCCTATTATGGGATTATGCCGGAACATGCTTCATAAAAAATATTGCGAGGTTAGCTATATATGGGATAATATGGTAGACATGAGATTTTGCAAATGGGAAGAATTACCAGGACAACCCAGGTTTATATTAACATACCGCTGCCCTGCCATAGACCTCGAAGTGGGGATGCTTGACATCCTACCCAGTGAGACATAATGAGACTTACACACAATACATACTGAGACTTACACACAATAGTTGCCAAGTGCATCCCTGAGGAATACTAGGGTTCCATCATTTTTTCGTCGCCCTAGACATGTGGTCAAAAGCCCTTTGGTAAATCCTTAAAAAACACAACCATTGGTGTGGATTTTGGTCATCCATACTCACGTTACTCAGGGTTCAATGAACCACGCACTATGGTCAATGGGCAACATTCTACAGGATAGCATGGTATCCACCATGAAACTCAAGGGTCTCCAGTGACTTTTTAACAAAGCTATTCCCGTTGGAGCCGCGGTGCTAGTGAGAGCAGTCGTAGATACCTTTCCAAAAGTTAATGTTATGGTTGGTGGGTTCATGTATATCTATGTAAATTGTGTGTACACATTAATCGCCTCAAGTTTGGCCCAGTTATTGGTTTACAGCTTCCAACAAAACACCCTTGGATCCTGTCAAGGAACAAGTCATGATGCCCAGCATTTGCAGGGCTTGCGGCCAGACCTGACCCCTGCTGCAAGCACCTTGGTTTGCAATGGGAAAGGGTTTCGAAAGAAGTTCGGACACTGGGGCTTATCTCAAGATGAGGAAAGGACAAACTTGTATTTTCAAACCACCCCTAACAACGGAAAAGAAGAAAACAATGAAGCTTTCGGGTTCCCACTTTTGAGATAGGCCATCTACTGGGAATCTACTCGAATGTCTGGAGCTTCAGTCCGACCTGTGAGAACGATTTGTTGCACCCAGGCTGGGCCCTGAAGCACATTGAAAGTCATCTAAGCATTTCACACCCCTGAGGATCATTTAAGCAGCGGAACTGCCCTTGGAAATGCTGAATATTCTATGTTTGAGGTGTGCGAATTTATCATTTCAGCCACACCCCTTCTACACGGATACAGGTGATTCCCACTGCAGGCATTGAGAACGAGTCGCTGAAAGTTACTTCTGAGCTTTCGTCCCCGCAACTTGGAGTACTACTCAAACTAGCACTGCATCAGTCCTCCCTTCTTAATCTTTGGCCCATTCACTCTGAATCTATTATGCCGCTGTCGCCGAGCCACACACACACATATATATATTTCCAAGTTTGGGATCATTCCCAAAATGCTGGAAAACCAATCATATTTTCAAAATGAAAGCTTCATCAACTTGACACAGCTGTCATTTTGGGATAATTCCCAGAATCCAATTCCCATCATTTAAGCATAGGTCGGTCGCTGGAAAAATATTTCAACGCGCCAGCCAGTGATATTCGGATATATCCCCAATTTTTACGGATTAAATTACTTCTTTCACAGTCTAAATATCTACCATAAAGTTCCTTTTTTGTCTTTTTCCCGCAAAGTTGTGCTTCGAGTTGTACATGACTTAACAACTACCATTAACTGTACATATCTCTACCACACACCATAGTTTTTGGAGTTGTCAACCAGCTTATCCAACGAACTGGGACACCACCAGATTGGCGTCACGTCACTGATCGCGGTGCTGTAGAAGAAAACATCCAATTGAATCTGTTCTGCTGATGCCTCTCCTCGTGACATGGGGTAGGGGATGCCTGGACTCACCAGAATTGGATACCCGAAACAGTGTCCTTAAACATGGCTGGGAAGAAAACCGAACTACTGTGGATGGAAGAAATCCTGCACCAGTTGATCGGTGGTAAACATCCCATTTTTCTCGAGGGTTTCAGCCATCCAAAGTGATGCAGGATTTCTTCCATCCACCGTATCTATACAATTCGGTCCTTTTTTTGCACCAAACTTTAGAGGTAGTGAACTTTGACCACACGCATTTTTCTGCATGACGTCCGCATTTTTGGGGTCTTTCAATGGGTTGAACCTTTTGAATCCTTTTGATCACCAAAAACGACGGTATTCAAAGCGGAGACTCCAGGTCCGGAGGGAACTGTGGATGTTTAGGGAATAGAAAATGCAGGGAAAGACATTATTTTTTCAGAGCTAGGTGGGGTCACGTTTTTTTTGGTTGCCTTTGGATCGCAATTCCCTACCCTTACTTGAAACAACAGTATAGAAGCGGAACATGAAAGCAACAATCATGGTTGTCCTTCAAAGCGAAGGTTTTCCACTTTCATGGTTGTTTTAAATATAGAATATGAAAAATCGGCAGATTATCCTGATGGATTCATGTTTCAAGTGGATTGACGCGCCCAATCTGTGACAAAAGTCTTCTCGCGTATCCCTCTAGCTTTGATCCGTTGCGACCTTTTCCCACATCCTTGACGCACCATTCCTTTACCAGGCCCTACCATACTTTCAAGCTCAATCCCATCTGTTTTGGATGACATCAGATTTACTGGGTTTTAATCCAACAACTTTGCCTTGTCTACACCTTTGAAAATAAAGCTGACGCACAAATAATTGGTTTTGGAAAACGTCTCTCTTGCAACGGCATGCAGTCTTTGGGTTCTGAAGCTTCGTTCTCAAGGGGAAACCCTACTTTGTGGTGCAGTTCCACCTACTAGCTGTGAAAGTGACCAAGTTCAGGGGTCATAGCCCAACTTATGGGCGTTGTTGCCGTAAGAAATTAAGGTTGTATTTATCAAAACCACTCATTTGCAGCACCTTCAGCACCTTCAGGCAATAGCCCCGTCGTGCCACCCAGGGGCCTAAGGCATCCAATGCTTTCGTCCAAGGACCTGGGACCAGTCTCAACACCGTGGCTACTTGGAGCATCTCAAACATGGTGGCTGGGGATGGATTATATAGTATTTAGTAAATAGTGAATATAGTATATAGTATATATATGTGTGTGTATCTAAATATCTGTCTATACGCATCTCTAAATTATAAAAAATAATTAGTAATTAGTAATTAGAAAGTAGTATATAGTATAGCGTATCTAGTATATAGTATACAGTATATAGTATATAAGTAATGAGTAAAAAAGTAACTAGACGACGGTTGGCCCGAGAGCGAAAAAGATGTTTTTCAAGCAGCTCTGAGGATGGTAGTCGTAAAAGATAGTCGGTGAATAGTTGGTGAATTTTATATGAGCTATGGAAAGATATGGTGTGAAAAAGTAAGATTGATCAAGAAGAGAATATTTGGTAAAGGGCATCAGATGACATGTGTCTTGCAACCACAGAGAGAAAGAGGGGGCAGAGATAAAGAGAGAGAGAGAGAGAGAGAGAGAGAGAGAGAGAGAGAGAGAAAGAGAAAGCAAGAGAGAGAGAGAGAGAATGAAAGGGGGGGGTAGAAAGAAAACATGAAGAAATGTAATGTGAGCAACAAAAGTGCACAGGAGGCTCAGTGCCATGAGTCTGCGAATGACATGTGCTATCTCATTTTATTATGGTAATTCCCACACACATTGCGGAAAAAGGCGCGGCACCATCATTCCGTGAACGCGAAGAAACGCGACGCTTTTATACAGAGACGCTTTTACACACAGAATCTTTTACACATAAACACTTTTACACACAGACGCTTTCACACAGAGACGTTTTTCATGCACACACACACAGACGCATTTCCACACAGAGACTTTTACACGAAAACACTTTAACACACAGACGCTTTTATACACAGACTCTTTTACACACATACACTTTTACATGCAGATGCCTTTTTACAGACGCACACACACTTTCACACACAAACGCTTTTACACACAGACGCTTTTGCACACAGACACAGACGCTTTTCCACACAGACCCTTTTACACACAGACGCTTTTACACACAAACACTTTTACACACATACGCTTTTACACACGGACGCTTTTACACGCAAACACTTTTACATACAGGCGCTTTTACACACAGACGCTTTTACACTCAGACACTTTTACACACAGACGCTTTTCCACACAGACTTTTACACACAGACGCTCACAAAGCGCGGCACCACTGGGTGACCTCAGTTGCAAACAAAGGTGCGCAAACATAGTTGCAATGGAAATGCCAAAAAATCGCAAAAGTGCACAAGACCAGGCTCAGTACCATGATCAACGCACAATCCAATGCAAGGCATCCGCTCTTTGAGATACAAAATAAGCTCGGCACCATGATGCCGTGGATGACCTCAGTTGCAAACACAGGTGGGCAAACATAGTTGCAATGGAAATGCTACAAAATGCAAAAGTACACAAAGGCTCCGTACCATGCATCCAAGAGAATCTAGAAGTCCGTGCAAGAATGCTGTGAATGATTCCACAATAGCAAGTTCGATATCATGATGGCAAGGATGACACCTGTTTCACTGCATTTCTCCGATGTCCCTACAGGATGGAAAAAATCTTTACAGACAAACAACAGTTGGCTACTGGTTTTGCATGTTCGTCACGAACAGTCTCTCCAGACGAACACTGCTACAGATTAATTTTGCACCAGGGCATCGAAGAAATCATCTGCGCAGCTGCAAACACAGATGGTGGTGCCTGCCTCCTTCCAATGGCACATTTTCTTCAAAACAACTGGCCAACCAGCTTTTACCAGATAGTGTCCGGTTTCTGGTTGCAAAGAATATTTTGGAGCCAATTCAGCGCTCCCAGGCACAAATGAAAGAATGTGTCGTAGAATTTGTTCATCAAAGACATCCGCCCTTGCACGGATTCCGGATGCATTCCCTCCACGGTCTTTCTGGCAGAACACACTTACATATCCAAATACTTTATGCGACATGTTTGTGCACCAAAATTTTGTTTGTTGTTAACTGCTGTCATGTCCAACGATGTGGGCGCTGCCGCCGAGTATCTTTCAACACCAAGACCCATAATCGGTTGGCATCATCTCTTGCTTCTTCATTTGAAAACAGAATGTAATACAATGTGAAATCGAGCATGAGCTCATGCATCCAAGCTAGTGGCAAATGGCCCCAGAAATGGCGGCCCATGTCCGGAGGGCCGTTCATGTGCACTTGATCGTAGATGTACAATTCTCTCGAACCGGCGTCCTTCCAGTCATGAATAGATACCAACAGCGCATCGTTCAAATCAACTGAATTTGTTTGAAACGAAGTTTATTGCAATCTCCCCGCAGCTGCAAAGCAATCGGCTGCCAGGCGCGACATGCTGTTAGTACAGGCTACAGAAGTATTAATTGAAAGCGACAGGTTTCGATATGTCCACTACAGCTTCACCTACAAACGTCACATCTCTTGTGGCGAAACGCATCTTGTCATTCGTTCACATCTGAGCCAAGGAATGTACAACGCACAATCCAATGCGAAGCATCTGCTCTTTCATTTCGAAACTGAAAACACGACTCCTGAGTTTGACATACCGAATAAGCTCTCTACCATGATGCCGTGGATGACCTCAGTTGCAAACAAAGGTGCGCAAACATAGTTGCAATGGAAATGCTTCAAAATTGCACAAGTGCACAAACAAAGGCTCAGTACCATGGTATCCAAAAAACAACAAGTGAACGCAGTGAATGATTCCACAATAACAAGTTCGATATCATGATGGCATGGATGACACCTGTTTCACTGCATTTCTCCGATGTCCATACAGGATCGAACAATCTTTACAGACAAACAACACCTGGCTACTGATTTAGCACGTTTGCCACGAACAGTTTCTCCAGGCGAACAGTGGTGCACATTAATTTGTGAGCGCAGTGAATGATTCCACAAAAACAAGTTCGATATCATGATGGCATGGATGACACCTGTTTCACTGCATTTCTCCGATGTCTCTACAGGATCGAACAATCTTTACAGACTAACAACACTTGGCTACTGATTTAGCACGTTCGCCACGAACAGTCTCTCCAGGCGAGCAGTGGTGCAAATTAATTTCTGCCCGCCGCACTCAGTTCCATGTGCCACTTGGCCCGCAAACCTTCCAGCTGCCACAAGGCCTCCAAGACATAGGGGCGATTGTGCCAAGGGCGCAAGGCAGGTCTTTTCTCAAGCAGCAACTGGACGGCATCCTCTGCAGAGTAGTTGTAACCCACGACGAGCCAAGCACATAAAACCCCAGCGCTTCGATTGATGCCTCCAAAGCAATGGAAGAGCACGTGCATGGATTCGCCCCTGGTCACTGCCAGCATGGACTGTTTCCAGAGTTGGCCACAAACAATTTTCCACTGTTCCAAACAAGAAGCTACCAAGTCAGGGATTCGTTCCTGCCAACGGTGCGGCGGCTTCAATGTCGTGTCCTCCAAATGACACTTGACGTGATAGACATTTTCTTGCTGGAAATACTGCGCCCAATCCTTTGGGGCGCCTCGAATCTCCATTTCATTTGCGCACATGGTCACCACCACGGTGACCTTCACCGACAGAGTCTCGAAAATGTCTTTCAAGCTGCAGGCCGCTTTGATGCTTCCAAGCAGCACCGACGCTCGAGCCGTAGGTTTGCAGATCACGGCAGCGTCCAATGGCCACTCCTCTATGGACCCGAAACTGTAAGGGTGCTGAGAGGTAATGCGGTCCAAGTCATTCCAGCATTCTTTGTCGGCGTAAGCCTTCCTGAGAAGTGCAAGAAATGTTACAGATACCCGTTTGCCAATCGTCACTTGTTTCACGAACATTCAGCGTACATATAAGAATATGGATGTTCACTCTGTGCACAATGCATCTTGTCTCTACGTCCACGTCTGAGCCCAGGAAAGAGGTACTTGGTAACTTCTACAACTTCATGCACTAACCTGCTACACACTCGCACAATTCAATGCAAAGAATGTGTTGTTCGAAGCCTGAGACCACGACTCCTGCGTTTGACAAGCAAAAATCATTGTCGCATAGACATGCAAACTGAACAGTGAAGCTCACTATGAACGTATCAATTCCCACACAGATTACCACACCAAACGAACCAAGCTCCGCACGTCCTAGCACGGATACACTAGCAAGCATTGTCACCCTCAATCTCTAACAGTTCCATGTCGTGCGGTCAAAGTACACACAAAATCTTTTACACACGAACGCTTTTAGACGCTTTGACACACAAAAGCCTTTACACACAAACGCTTTTACACACAGACGCTTTTACACACAGACGCAACGCTTTTACACACAGACGCTTTTACACACAGACGCTTTGACACACAAAAGCCTTTACACACAAACGCTTTTACACACAGACGCTTTTACACACAGACGCAACGCTTTTACACACAGACGCTTTTACACACAGCTTTTACACACAGACGGTTTTACACACAGACGCTTCTACACGCCTTTTACACACGCACACACGCTTTCACACACAAACGCTTTTACACACAGACGCTTGACACACAAACGCTTTTACACACAGACGCTTTTACACGCAGATGCTTTTTACACACGCACACACGCTTTCACACACAAACGCTTTTACACACACACGCTTTCAAACACAAACGCTTTTACACACAGACGCTTTTACACACAGACACTTGTACAGAAACGAAAGCGTCCATCGCAATTTTTCCTCAGTTTTTGACGTCCAACGTCCATTTCGTGCGAAAGGGTTACGATTGACCAAGTAAAATCGCAATTTTTCCTCAGTTTTTGACGTCCAACGTCCATTTCGTGTGTAAGGGTTGCGATTGACAAAGTAAAGTCGCAATTTTTCCTCAGTTTTTGACGTCCAACGTCCATTTCGTGCGTAAAGGTTGCGATTGACAACTCAAAGTCGCAATTTTTCCTCAGTTTTTGACGTCCAACGTCCATTTCGTGCGTAAGGGTTGCGATTAACACCTCAAAGTCGCAATTTTTCCTCAGTTTTTGACGTCCAACGTCCATTTCGTGCGAAAGGGTTGCGCACGACGCTTCAAAGTCGCAATTTTTCCTCAGTTTTTGACGTCCAACGTCCATTTCGTGCGTAAGGGTTGCGCGGGACACCTCAAAGTCGCAATTTTTCCTCAGTTTTTGACGTCCAACGTCCATTTCGTGCGTAAGGGTTGCGCGGGACAAAGCAAAGTCGCAATTTTTCCTCAGTTTTTGACGTCCAACGTCCATTTCGTGCGAAAGGGTTGCGCGCGACGGATAAAAGTCGCAACTTTTCCTCAGTTTTTGACGTCCAACGTCCATTTCGTGCGAAAGGGTTGCCGGGGACGCTTCAAAATCGCAATTTTACCTAGGTTTTGGACGTCCAACGTCCATTTCGTGCGAAAGGGTTGCGTTTCGTGGCGCTCCGGCGACACCGCCCCCGCCTTAAGAGAGAATAGAAGAAGAGCGAGAGGAGATCTGCAGATGTGAAGGTGTGAAGATCTAGATCTGCAGGTGTGAGGGTGCGAAGATCTAGATCTGCAGATGTGAGGGTGTGAAGATCTAGATCTGCAGGTGTCAAGGTGTGAAGATCTAGATCTGCAGATGTGAGGGTGTGAAGATGTAGATCTGCAGGTGTGAGGGTGTGAAGATGTAGATCTTCAGGTGTGAAGGTGTGAAGATCTAGATCTGCAGATGTGAAGGTGCGAAGATCTAGATCTGCAGGTGTGAGGGTGTGAAGATCTAGATCTGCAGGTGTGAGGGTGTGAAGATCTAGATCTGCAGATGTGAGGGTGTGAAGATGTAGATCTTCAGGTGTGAAGGTGTGAAGATCTAGTATAACGGCTGCTTTTTTACGAAGAACCCTTCGCAGGCGCTCTCGGGAACTAGTAATTAGTAATAAGTAATAGTATATAGTATGTAGTATATAGTATACAATATATGGTAAATAAGTAGTTGGTATAAATACTTAGTAATTAATATATAATATATAGTCGCATGCAGTAAAGAGAAAATCGTATATAGTATATAGGATGTAGTACGTAGTACATAATACACAATAAATAAATAGCGAATAGCAAATAGTGTAAATAAATAAATAAATATATATATATATTCTGCACTTGTATATCTATATATGTCTATATGTACATATGTAAATATATACGGTAGCTACATTTAAATATACGGACTTTTAAATATACGAACAGGTATTTTAGACTACCTCCGGGAAAGTTTTCCTTGGCCCGCCCGGCCATTTAAACATACGGAATCCAATTCATTCAAACATACGGCAACTACATTTAAATATACGAACTGGTATTTCATACTACCTCCGGGGCCTCACGGTCTGGCCCGCCCTCCACATATTTAAATGTCGTTACCGTATTTTATTGGGGATGTGTCTTGGATATATGCCCCAAACATTGTAAATTGTGAAAAACCCATTTATACCTCGTATAGCTGGGGATGTGTCTATTGAAACCTGGGTTGTGCTGTGGTGCACATTCAAAAAATCTGGGCCAAACTTGTCAGCCCCCAAAGAATGATGAAATTTGAAGTTCGGCGCGCCAGGAGCCATAATTTTGGTTTTCACCACCACACAGACGCGTTTACACACAGACGCTTTTACACCCAGACACGTTGTACAGAAACGAAACGTCCATCGCAATTTTTTCCTCCGTTTTTGAACGTGCAAACGTCCTTTTCGTGCGAAGGTTACGATTGACCAAGTAAAATCGCAATTTTTCCTCAGTTTTGACGTCCAACGTCCATTTCGTGCGTAAAGGTTGCGATTGACAACTCAAAGTCGCAATTTTTCCTCAGTTTTTGACGTCCAACGTCCATTTCGTGCGTAAGGGTTGCGATTGACACCTCAAAGTCGCAATTTTTCCTCGTCCAACGTCCATTTCGTGCGTAAAGGTTGCGATTGACAACTCAAAGTCGCAATTTTTCCTCAGTTTTTGACGTCCAACGTCCATTTCGTGCGTAAGGGTTGCGATTGACACCTCAAAGTCGCAATTTTTCCTCAGTTTTTGACGTCCAACGTCCATTTCGTGCGAAAGGGTTGCGCGCGACACCTCAAAGTCGCAATTTTTCCTCAGTTTTTGACGTCCAACGTCCATTTCGTGCGAAAGGGTTGCGCGCGACACCTCAAAGTTGCAATTTTTCCTCAGTTTTTGACGTCCAACGTCCATTTCGTGCGAAAGGGTTGCGCGGGACACCTCAAAGTCGCAATTTTTCCTCAGTTTTTGACGTCCAACGTCCATTTCGTGCGAAAGGGTTGCGCGCGACGGATCAAAGTCGCAACTTTTCCTCAGTTTTTGACGTCCAACGTCCATTTCGTGCGAAAGGGTTGCCGGGGACGCTTCAAAATCGCAATTTTACCTAGGTTTTGGACGTCCAACGTCCATTTCGTGCGAAGGGGTTGCGTTTCGTGGCGCTCCGGCGGCACCGCCCCCGCCTTAAGAGAGAATAGAAGAAGAGCGAGAGGAGATCTGCAGATGTGAAGGTGTGAAGATGTAGATCTGCAGATGTGAAGGTGTGAAGATGTAGATCTGCAGATGTGAGGGTGTGAAGATCTCGATCTGCAGATGTGAGGGTGTGAAGATCTAGATCTGCAGGTGTCAAGGTGTGAAGATCTAGATCTGCAGATGTGAGGGTGTGAAGATGTAGATCTGCAGGTGTGAGGGTGTGAAGATGTAGATCTTCAGGTGTGAAGGTGTGAAGATCTAGATCTGCAGATGTGAAGGTGCGAAGATCTAGATCTGCAGGTGTGAGGGTGTGAAGATCTAGATCTGCAGGTGTGAGGGTGTGAAGATCTAGATCTGCAGATGTGAGGGTGTGAAGATGTAGATCTTCAGGTGTGAAGGTGTGAAGATCTAGTATAACGGCTGCTTTTTTACGAAGAACCCTTCGCAGGCGCTCTCGGGAACTAGTAATTAGTAATAAGTAATAGTATATAGTATGTAGTATATAGTATACAATATATGGTAAATAAGTAGTTGGTATAAATAATTAGTAATTAATATATAATATATAGTCGCATGCAGTAAAGAGAAAATCGTATATAGTATATAGGATGTAGTACGTAGTACATAATACACAATAAATAAATAGCGAATAGCAAATAGTGTAAAGAAATAAATAAATAAATATATATATATATATTCTGCACTTGTATATCTATATATGTCTATATGTACATATGTAAATATATACGGTAGCTACATTTAAATATACGGACTTTTAAATATACGAACAGGTATTTTAGACTACCTCCGGGAAAGTTTTCCTTGGCCCGCCCGGCCATTTAAACATACGGAATCCAATTCATTCAAACATACGGCAACTACATTTAAATATACGAACTGGTATTTCATACTACCTCCGGGGCCTCACGGTCTGGCCCGCCCTCCACATATTTAAATGTCGTTACCGTATTTTATTGGGGATGTGTCTTGGATATATGCCCCAAACATTGTAAATTGTGAAAAACCCATTTATACCTCGTATAGCTGGGGATGTGTCTATTGAAACCTGGGTTGTGCTGTGGTGCACATTCAAAAAATCTGGGCCAAACTTGTCAGCCCCCAAAGAATGATGAAATTTGAAGTTCGGCGCGCCAGGAGCCATAATTTTGGTTTTCACAAGCCATGCGCGCGCCAGAATATGTGTGGTGTTATCCGGACATTGAAGATCTTCAAAGAAAGTGAGTGTTGAGTAGTTGACGATCAGTGCCTAAGGGTGTCCAACGCTTTTCAACATAAACCAATGAAACTTAACCCATTCACAACCATAGGGCCGTGTCTGACACTGGGGCATAAGTAAAAATTACCAACTGAAGAAAAGGTGATATACGAAATTGTACCTTACCAGAAAAAGCAGTCTGCAACTGAATCTCAACTCCAAGGGCAGTGAACCTTTGAGAAAATTCACCGACCTTGTCCCCATCCTCTGCAAACCGCCAACCACGCAACTTGAATAGCAATCCCACCGTGAATCCCGCATTCAAAGTCTGCACATGTCGACGAAACACAACGAAGTCATCAAAAAAATGAGACCGCACCAAATTCAAAACCGAAACTCCAATAAACCCAACCGAATGAATAATCCGCAAGAAGGAGTAAACGCTGCGCGTAGCCCCGAATGGAGCTGCCAATAGTTGGAAAATCTCCGGCTTCCGGGTATGTGGGTTGAACACCACCACATATGCATAAGGTAGAGAATCTTCGGCAACTGCCAACTGTTTGTAGGCACTCTTAAGGTCATAGGTTCGACCATTGACCGCTGATCCACCACTCACCTGCAACACACGCAGTAAGAGAGCTCTCCAATGAAGTCAACGTCCTGAGGCTTAGGGGACTCTGAAGCTTGAACTGTGTTATTGACTGAACCCCCTGTCAGGTCATCAACTCTCCTGATTTTTCCCGGCACGGGGTACCCTACCTATGTTGAGACAGACCCATATCCTTTGTGAATCCCCAGGAGCTGCCTGAAGCAGTTCAGCAAAACCATTGGAGAAACAGACAATCGCCTTCAGCAAAAGCGGTTTAACTGTCATTATTTGCATTCTGTATTCCGATTCTGTTGTGGTTATATGGTTGGTTGTTTCACTGTCATTTCTCCGAAGGGTTTCCCACTTAATCCATTGATGAAAAGGATCATCAACCATCCCTAACCCCTGATGGTAAACGAACACGATGCAAACGCAAAAAATGAAACAGTGAGAACATACTTTTTGAAACAGTTTAAAACGTTTCTGCAGGTTAGTCATGACCACTAGTCCCCTAATTATTGCCAACCAACCATCAACCACCGAGACCTGTGGGTCGCGAGGGGAAGCCCGCGCCTCGTTTCACCTCTCGCGTGAGGTCCTTCACTTTCAGCCCCATGGCGATTTCGCACGGCGCGCATGGCGCGTATGGTGGGGCCGGCCCAAACAAAGGGGGTGGCGATGGCAGGGCAGGATGACGGGATGAGCAACAGGAGTTTTACTATCCCATGTGGGGATGTTCCAGCACTTCGGCATACCCTGTAATTAAGCATCTTTCTGGATGTAGCCTTGGCAAGTTGTTGACTGTGGAACTCTTGTCACAACCAACCCAGAACCTCTGGCACAAACGATGTAACATTTTGGGACCGCTCCTTTGGAATACGGGTAGAATTCATGAGTTCAACTATTACAAGAACATCTAACATCACGAGAATACAGGATATTGTTGATCAAACGGTAGCGGAAGATCCCACTACGTGCAACCCTGGGATGACTCAAGGTAGAACCAGCCAGAGCAACTTAATCCCAATGCATAATGGAGTGCATGTACCAGAAGATAATGTCTACACATACACCCCCAGCTAATGTGACCAATGTGTGTGTGGTTTCAACCATTCAGCGGCTGCAAGCAACCAGGAGCTTCTTGCTGAAGCATGCCGAACGTGACCAAAACGCTCAAAACAATCCGTTTTGACACTTGAATCCACATTTTCATTGGTTGAATCCCATGTGTAAAATTGGTATGATTCGCATTTGTCGTCGAATCTGTCGGGGTGTCTAGCGCGAACATTGAATTCTGTCGGGTATGTCTGAAATATGTCCCTTGGTATATCGGTATATCCCTCTTGTAAGGGCTGGCATGGACACCGAGTTACTAAACATTCACCATTGGTTGAGTTGGATGACGCTAATCGTTTGAATTCTTGGTCAGCTCCGGGTTACATCAGGCTAGCCGTTTTTTTTTGGGTGACGGCGATACTTGGAGGGTCATCCCGCTTAGTGAGCAGTTAGTAACCCTGGTTAATCCAGTCAATGGATAACACATTATATATATACACATATTGTAATATATATGTAGTACATACAAAGAGTATATATATATACATAATATAATATATATATATATACATAGTATCATAAATAAACACAAATAAATTAATATATATATATATATAAATACATAATATCATATATATATATATATGTTGAAACCATTGTTGCTAACCAGTTACGACTCACGACCCGTGTGATGATCCCCCCTTTGTGGATCCTACCCTTTTTGGCTGTGTTCACCCGCTTTCCTGCTTAGATAGCAAGGTACAATTTCAACTTACTAATATCAGCTACCCGGGCCCAAAAACTACTTCCCATGGTTTCAACAATGAAATAGTCAAAAGCTGGATCATGTGGGGGTACCTCTGCTTCAGGAAACACAAAGAAATGCAAAAAAAAACGTGTGTACAACACATACTTATATAAATGGTAATGTGGCAAATCTAAAGCCCATAAAACATACCAAAATGAACGATTCGGGGGTCACTCTGCATGATCCCATTGCTAAAGTATACTCGTGAAACCAAAATTTCGCAACCGCAATTCAAGAAGGTAATTGCAGCTGGCTTACACTTTTCCCACATCATTGGTTTAGTGTCAGCCCCTGGTGAATCCACCAGGGTCAGAGAGTTGACCGAACAAAAACATAATTTGCTGCTGACACCCCAAAAAAACCATCCCAAAACCATCTGGTAATCAAACATGGCAATTTAAAATGGCCTGTTTCTAGATGATTTACAAACTAACATTTCCTATTGCTATGCTGGATTACAGAGGGGCGATCCAGGGTTGACATTCAACCACAAACGCATCCAACATAAACCCCAGGAATAATCGTTGTAAACCAACTTAGCTATTGAACTACAGTAGATGGACAAAATATTCAAACCCTGCAGCACGCACTATGTTGAACCCCCGCACCCCCAAATCTCAATGTTTCAGCGCGCGTGTTAGCAAAAGTGATGTTAGGGGTTTGATTTTTTTCGTCCATTGGGGCTAACGCACTTCAGGTTACAATAACATTGAACTTTGGGGGCGAGGGGGTTGTACCGGATAGAAAGGGTTTGAATATTTCGTCCATCTACGGTACCAACTGGGGTGTGCGGCATGCCGCACACCCCAGTTGGTACCGTCTCGCTCTCTGATGTTTTCACATCTTTTGGTCTCCAAACTCTGTTGTGGAAACATCAATGTGCATGCTGTTGATCTTCTTCCAAACTGAAAAACATTGGCTTTTCACAAGTAAATGCCTCCTGTCTGTCTCCCGTCCAATTTTTTTCTATTCCCTAATCCGCAACTTATTCCTACGTGCACAAAACATTGTGTTTTGACTGGTAAGTGCAATCTTTGTGCTTCCCGTCCCATGTTTTTCTATTCCCTAATTCGCAACTTATTCCAAACTGCAAAAAACATTGTGTTTTCACAGGTAAATGCTGCATGTGTCTCTCGTCCCATTTTTTTCCTATTCCCTAATTCACAACTTATTCCAACATGCGCAAAACATTGTGTTTTCACAGGTAGATGTGCAGGTCTCTCTCGTCCCATTTTTTTCAATTCCCTAATTCACGACTTATTCGTTTGACGTGGCACTGCCAATGGATTTTGCAACTTGAACAGCATGAGACAGCTCCTAATTAAAAATAGGAAATATTTTTCTCATAAAAAGAAGCAGCACGTCACAAATGACATAATCCACTGGCAGTGCCACGTCAAACGAATAAGTCGTGAATTAGGGAATAGAAAAAATGGGACGAGAGAGACCTGCACATCTACCTGTGAAAACACAATGTTTTGTGCATGTTGGAATAAGTTGTGAATTATGGAATAGGAAAAAATGGGATGAGAGACACATGCAGCATTTACCTGTGAAAACACAATGTTTTTTGCAGTTTGGAATAAGTTGCGAATTAGGGAATAGAAAAACATGGGACGGGAAGCACAAAGGTTGCACTTACCAGTCAAAACACAATGTTTTGTGCACGTAGGAATAAGTTGCGGATTAGGGAATAGAAAAAATGGGACGGGAGACAGACAGGAGGCATTTACTTGTGAAAAGCCAATGTTTTTCAGTTTGGAAGAAGATCAGCAGCATGCACATTGATGTTTCCACAACAGAGTTTGGAGACCAAAAGATGTGAAAACATCAGAGAACGAGACGGTAGGTCACCACCTTGTTAGGTAAATCCACTCAAGAAGAATCAAAATCAACTACAACCAGCATTGTAATTATTTAAATCCCATCAAAACCACAGCAACTCAGCATCTCACGGTCTCCTCCACCCAGAGCCTCACGAGGCGATCTCCGAGGCGTCGAAAACGCGAGGCAACCACCTCCGCGGGCGCTAAGACCTGAGAGGATGGGATGATGGGATGTGACAAACAAAATGATACAAAAATAACCAACCAACTTATATATACATATATGTACATGTTTATGTAAGAATATCAATAAATATACATATATACATATATATATATATCAATATTGTGTATATATAAATAAATACACACACACATATATATATATATATCTATATCATGAGCAGAGAACATTCACTAGGTAATGTACATACAGATACAACATTTTCAAAGTGAGCGACAAAAAGAAGAGATCATTAAACAAGCACATGGATACGTTATAAAGGTGCCATGTGAGGAAGGATCTTCAACCTGGTTAATGGTTTGTATAGAGTAAAAAAAGAGTGGTATTATGGGAGTTACACGGACGTAAGGGAAATCAATGCAGGCTATGCTTTGGAAAAAGGGATAAACCTGTTCAATATTTGCGCTAATATTGGGAATGATCTTTGGTAGAGAAGCAAAAAGTTGAACATAATATCCTTCGATATTAAAGTCCATACAAGGCATGGCCAGACGATGGTGGTATTATAATACCATGAAAACAAAAATCTTGGTGGCGATATGGGGTTCGAAGAGATATGGTTGCGATGGATAGTATTACCCCTTTAAGTGGTGAGTAAAGGAAATATTTACATAAACACATATAAAAACAAATCAATAGCCATCATCGGGCTGTAACTGGCTAAAAATAAGCTTCAATGCTAAATTTCGGGGATGTTGTTTTTTTTTTGGGGTTTGGAGGATTGCTGGAGGATGTACGGTATTGGAATGGGTTTCCTCATGTTCACTCTCATTGTTCATCTTCTGAAAGCCCAAGTGGTTCTTAACAGACTAAGCACGTGCCACGTAGAACCCGCGGCAAGGCATCATGATTCCAGAGCTTGGCAAAGCGTCTCACCATCGAAAGGTGATTTAATGAACTGCATCTGGATTCATCAGCTGTGTGAACAACTCCAAGAGGCCATGGGCACGATATGGAAGTGACACGAACAAAGGAAGTGCCATGTCACAGAACAACATCGCGATCTGTCTCAGGAATGGATCATGACTGGGCTGAGTCACCATGCATAGCTCCTGGGTTACAGAGACATCCTGATCCGTCATGGCTTGATTCCCAACGTTCGTTCCTTTTTGTTGGGGTCGCGCTTTATTTTTGGTTTCAACAATTGCTGTAGCCATTCGTTTCCTGTCTTGTTCATCCCTTGCATCGCCAAGGTTTCGCCCAGCTTTCCCCGGGTTTCTCGACCTCGGGAGAGCTGTTGATCTGCGGCGTCGTCCAAGCCGGACAGGGAGGCCTGGCATCAAGGGTGGGAAGTGGTTCCAATGGATCAATCAGCCAACATGAATTTCATGATTCACTAAGTTTCGCAAACATTCGTAAAAAAGAAAATAGGTCTGTGTTGGTTGAAGAACCTTTTAAACGAAAGCCAAACATGGAATCGGAATGGCATAGGGTGAATCCATGGAACACAGAAGCAGCTTCGCATTGGGTTATTCCCGTTTGGAGGGGTCAAGACCCCACAAACATTGTTGGGATCACGTAGTTTCATGATATTTAATTAACCCAGCAGTTTGGGAATATAATATTTGATCATAGTGGAGATGTTTGCAAATCTTCAGTTCCTGGTCAAACATCTCTAGTTGAAATTCCATCTTTGCTGGGGTCTTATCGGACACCTACTTGCAACCGATGAAGCCCACCCAAGCACCAGCTCGTATTTTTATCAAACCCGAACCTGTTGGTGGTCAACTCCAGGCTTCACTGATGTTGGTTCCCAAGTTCTAGTGCTGCAATCATTATAGTTGATGGCAAAAAATCGGTTTGTACCATCAAATCTAAGTTTTTGACTTGTTAAATCGAGCTTTTGGCTCTTCTTCACAACGAAGCCCCAATGATTGACTACATAAAACCACACTTTACAATGTGGTGCTCCCCAGTGATGTTGGTTCAAAAGCCATATTAACTAGTTCAGTATACCTAGCATGCACCCAGCAGTGAAAGTGGAGTTATGTCATGTTCACCAAATGTGCTATCATAAACCATATTTCAATGCCCGTTTTTTATGGTTAAATCTGTTTCCCCAATTTTTTGTTCACACCCGTGGTCTTCCCCTGTGATTGTGGCCGAAATTCCGTTGTGGACACCTCGGTTGTGAGAGGGCATCCATCGCCAGGCGATGCCTTGGCGGCGTCTCATAGGAAACCGTTGTATCAATGGGAATAAAATGGAGGTACGTTAGTACCATATTTCTGGCCATATTTTGTGGGGATATTCCCTTACATAGGCCTGATATATATATATATGCCTTATATATGGTAGGTACCTTCGATTTAGGTTCCTGTTGCATGGCCATTGATTGTATGTATTGCAGACTATGGGTTTGAGTATAGGGGTATCCTGTAGAATTTCACCAAACGCAATTCTAGGAATCTTCCCATCGTACTCATATCATGTCCGATTATACCCTATAAATATAGCTTTCAAACTTGTCCTTCTAAGCATAGGGGCTGGTTTGGTATATCATCTACCTACGGGTTGGCTTTCCTGGGAAGCCTCAATCAACCCAGCAGGTGGGAAAAGGACATCGATATGAATCTGGAGAAATGACAAGAATTCACACACCTGAAAGAAGGCCACACCACTTGGCTCGCTTCTCTTCCGGACCTTCTTTCAAGCCATTTGGGGATTCCCGGATTCCTCCTATTGATCATTCTTGCAGTGAGCTTGCTATGATTTGTCCAGATGAACGGCCCATGCATGATTGCGAAATATCATTGATCACTGATCTTAAATCTTGAACATCAAAAAATACCACCAAACCATGAGGCGCGATTAGTGGCGAAACGGAATATTTTACAAGCACTTTGGAATAGGAAATTGACCAAAACTGTGATATAATGGGATACAGCAGGGGTATGACGCAATGCTAGTTTCATGGTTAAACTCATGTGGGATGCCTAATGTTCAAATATTCAACTCGCAGTGGATAGCACCTGGGACAAAACAAAAGGAAAGAAAAGTTAATTATATAATCCAAACAGACTTGGCTAATCTGTCGAAAGCACTGATTATGTTGGCCGTGGGCAAAAAGTGAGAGGTCACAAATCAAACGGGGACTTAACCATGCCACCTGAAGGACCAGCGATTGACAACGGTACTTTCAATATCCATCCATGGGCGAGGCAAGCAACAAGCCCCAAAAATATGCTGGCCGTAACTGATGCATTGGTGGCCGGGACAAAACCGAATGCATTTGTTTATGACTTCTGACCGAATGAAAATGGGAGCCCGGAAGGATGGTAGGATGGGGCGAAGCAACGCATATATTTAGATAAATACCAGCCACTTATTTGGGTGTAGTTGAAGGGCTTTATGGCACATAGTCCTGAAAATTATGATGAGTCTAAGCAAATGAAGATGATTTCCGAATCAGAAATAAACACAAAAATGCGGTGGTTGCACGTATATGAACAGTCATGACATGTGCGTTGATGACTGCGAATCGGGTCGCCATAACTTGCCCAGAACGGTGCTTCAAAACAAACATAAGATTTAAGAACAAGAACTCGTGTTGGTAGCAACACACAATGGGTTTTAATCACGCGTTCTTTTTCCAGGACGATCACACCGAAGTGAGGCCTATAGAAACGGATGCAACTTGCCATCAATCGCACCTAGCATTGCCAACCATGGTTGTGGTTTTCCCGCAAGCAAGTGTTTTCAAGATTTTTTTTCCCTTGCCATACCCTGCTCCGACTCAAAAAGTCAGCTAATCACGAGGCGTGGGCGTAGCCAAGAAGTTAAAAGTGTTCAAGATACCACAACCTATTCTGTTAATGGCTAAAAATTAGGCCAGCAATCTCTTTTAGTGGGGTTCGGTTCACCTAGATGTTTCTGGGAAAGTACGATTGGCTGGGGCTTCGCCCCCAACGATAGGTCAATTTGAAGATAAGACCACCATCCCAAGATGGGGTGTAGAAATTTGAAAATTGTCAGCTAGCGCTTCTGGCTCAATGATCACATTTTACGGACGGAATCCTGTCACTGTGACCTGGCAACTTAACGAGAAAAATGATTGCAAAGCAATGGGCGAAATGGTTACAAAACATTGGCCGGGTGGCCTTTTGCGGTTCCAAATTCTACAATGATGAACATTTTTACTACTGCAATGAAACGATGGCCAAATAGGCAATCCGTCCGGGTTTGTTCTCTGGGCATATTGGACTAATGCCGCTTGCAAGAAGCCCATGGCCACGCAATTACGGTAACAGAGGTCGTGGTTTTGAGAATAAAGAAGTGATTCCCACAGCTTAAACTTGTATCTGGCACATCCGGATGCTTTATGCGGCATTCTATCTGACATAATTTTTGGCATTCTGTCCAACACATACTCTGAGGTACAATCTGGCAGTCACTCTCATTTTTTTGGGGGCATCCTATCTGGCATATATTCGGAAACCATCATGCGACACTTTATCTGTCAGTGTATCTGGCATATAAATTCTGGACAGTCTTTGTGCCATATGTTTTGAACATTCTATCTGACATACATTCTGACATTTTCTATTTAACACTTTATCTGGCATTCCACCTTTCTGACATATATTCTGACACTCTACCATTCGACTTGATGCTTTACTGCGCAATGTCTGGCACCCTACCTGACCTTCTATCTGGCATTCTATCTGATTCTATCTAACATTTTTTTTGTCACCTAGACCTTTTATTTGCCATTCTATCTTACATATTTCGGGGCATCATGGTCACAATGCAATTTGACATATTAACTGATATAGTAAAAATCCTTGGTGCTTAGCTGTGTCGCAGACCACTATTTCCCATTCATGGCCCATTTGCAAAAGGTTTATGGCGTTGAGTTTCACTACATCACTGCATTCCACTGCTTGCTTCTACCACAAATCTCGCCGCGTCCAGGGGTCCCAGGGGTCCCAGGGGTCCCAGGGGTCCCAGGGGTCCCAGGGGTCCCAGCTCTGCTTCGGCCAATTGGTCCCTCAAGTCTTGCAACTGCCGCATCTGCGGGGATGGTTTGCGGATCCAGTAAGGGTACCCTTCAAAGATGCCAACCCCAATTAACTTTACTCACCTGGACTGCTGGTCGTCTTGGGGGTATCATTGTAGGATCTCATGATCGCTATGTGGAAAGAACCCACCAATGTTTCACCAACCGGGCTAAATACAAATCCGGTGTTAACATCAACTAACATGTATCTATCATTATCTATCCAGGTCTAAAATTCATGTTTTACAGGCCATAAAGTACTTCATACAAATCATCGGCCGAAATTGCGAAAAAATAGCCCAACAACCTGCCAGCCACCAGCAACGTCTTACCCAGAAAACCTTTGGGGTTTTGCCACGCATCTTGACCGTCTGAAGATACCTGAAAAAAGATAGTTCAGAGATAGACACGGATTTGCCCAGGCACGGTTTTTAGGAGGAAAATGATGATAAACCATAGGGATTCTGGAGTGCAAGGTGAACAGAGAAAATATTGTTTTGATGGGGGGCCACGTGGCGCGTGGAAGCACCTGGCACTTCCACAGCAGAGACGCTTTTTTGACTTTCAAAACCCGTTTGTGAAGGGCTTAAAACAGCCTGCACGCCGTGAAATGACATCGATCATATGCTTACTATACTTTGGTCGCCCCATGCTTGCAGGTCGGCCCTGAGCCGCCCTGCTCTCTGCATGTTTCGCTGTCGTTGTTTCTACCATATGGCCAACAAGATCGTAAAGACACTGTCAGAAACAATATGGACAGGCTACCCGTTTACGTGCGAAACTTCTGGCAGGCTGGCGGTCCAACCTGTTGCTCAGGGCGAGCGCCTGGCCGCAAGGAGTTCAGCAGCCAGTTCAGCAGCCACCTGAAGGGTGGATCAGCCATGGCAACATGGATTTTGCCTTCTCGGTCGTCACTTGGGTGGGTTTACGTGCTTCCGGGCTGGGTAAGCCCTGCTTGCCAGAAGAGAAGCTAACAATTTAGAGGCCCAGGAGTATTCATGCACTGGTCGGCGGCAGAGCAATACGTTTGATTTTGATTTATGCTAGCAAAGCTACAAATAGGCCGTGCCCCCAACGTTTTTGGCATCAATTTGCCTCCCCACCACGGCAAACGTCAAAAACGCAATCGTTGAAGAAGTCGCCGTCTGGACCATCGGCCTGAATTACAAAAAAATGGTGGGCAGCTCGGCTGCCAAAAGCTGGAAAAATGTACAGATTCCGTGTTGAAATTAGCGGAGACCGTGCAGGAGGCTGATGCTTTTCAAGATGTGCATGGTTCTATGCCCAAACAACGAGAAACAAGTTGCAATCACATGCACACCGCCAAGATATGTTCCACCCCAACTGCTATCCCTCCAAACACATCGTGCAAGCCAAGGTTTTGCATAAAGAAGCCACATGAACTCAACAATGTGACAACAAAAAGTTTCCAGGCGTGCAAGGAAAAATAACCTGACCAACCGCTTAGAGGTTTCCTCATATGATTTCCTTTGTCACAATGAGAACCCACCAGACAAAAACCCACTGCTGGAACATCAGGAGCCACAGCGCCAAACTGTGCCAAGGCCACCCGCTGCAATTCAGCACCCAAGTGCTTGGAGCAAAGATCCATGGCATGGGACATCTCCGCATCCTCGCAGGTCTGGAGCAAGCTCAGTCCATTCGTCGCATCAGCTTCCTGCCAGGGGAGTGCCACAAAGCTTAGAATCTTCGATGGGCCGGCCCTGCTGGGCAAAGGCGAGACGGAAGCAAAAGGTAAAGTAAAAGTTGGGCCGTATGTTTGACAACGTATCGAAATGTCATTGCGTGATTTACACATCTCCATGTACCAGCACTAAGACGGCTTGTCTGTTTTTTCAATGCATGCAGGTCAGCGCAAATCTACAACTCCATGTGAAGCAAACCGCTGCAGCTCCAGATTGAGTTCTCTACAGCTGCACACACGGACCCTACCTTCAGGTAGGCAGATGCTAGCTCGCTCCCTCGAAGGTCTTTCCTACAGAGAGCAGTGACAAGGAAAACACTGGGTGGACATGTATGAAGCCAGAAGTTCGTCTTTGGAAGGTTTTTTCAACCTGAGACGTTTTGCCCTTATTGTTGATGGTGTTTGTCGGCAGTTGAAGCGCGGCATATTCCTGCCAGGTTCATTCTAAACTAATTTCGTCCCAGTCACCAAGAAGTTTCAACACCGAACGCTTCACTGTCTGTCATTTGCAAGGTCGAGACCGGCGTGTTGCGAGCCACACCTCAAGAAGCGGCAGAGACGGACATAATTCAGTTCAGCGGTGAAACAGTCATGGGCTGCAAACCACAACCCTACAATGCCCTGTGAGAAGAAAAGGACCGGAGAACCCCACATCAAAAGCCTCCTGAAAAGATGCGCGGCCGTGGCACTAAAGAGGTGTGAAGCAGAGGTCTTCAGAGCAAAGAAAAGAGAGGGCCAGCGATGAGTTGGTACGGAAAGATCTGACAGAGGTAAGTTTGATCTATGCAAGTTGGTTGGAGTTCCTTCAATCAGAAAAACATAATATGTATGTACATTTCTATAGCGCCGGACATCTCCTTAGAACAAAATCCCATTACTTAGAACAAATATCAGACACTTAGAACAGAAATCCCATACTTAGAATAGACATTTTGTTCTAAGTGAACCTTACTTAGAACAAAACTCCTTACTTTTGTTCTAAGTAGTTTGCCTGTTCCTAAGTAAGCTGTTAGAACAAAATTACCCAGACATTTTGGAAAACATGTTCTAAGTAGATGTCCGGCACTATATATATATATGTGTGTATGTACACATGTCCCGAAGACATGAAAGAGATACGTTTGATAGGGAAGGTGGAGAAAGATAAACTTGATGCAGAGGTAAGTTTGATATAGAGAAAAGGTTGACAGAGACAGGTTTGATAGAGATGAATTCTGATATAGAGATTCGCTGGATTGAGAGAAGTCGCCGTAGAGGAAAATTATAATGGAGAAAAGTTATGATTCACACAGAAAAATCATGACGGGAGAAAACTTATGATGGCGATAAGTTTGGTGAAGGTAAATAGAACCGGAGATAAGCGATGATATGAAGTTTTTTGGAGGAGTGAGTAAGTGATGATAAAGAAAGGTTTTGATGACGGAGGTAAATTTGATCCGGGTTCAATTGGACAGAGACAGGCCTTCATGAGCCATGTGTTGTTGAAATATGCTGTGGAGCAGGCGGGGGCAGGAGAAGGAGGAGGACGGGCTGTAGCGGCAACAAGCAAGAACCCTGCATAGTGATGTGGGGAACCACCCCTGCAAGTCTCAATTCGTGGATTGTCCCATTTATAAATGGATTGTGACCATGGATGCTAACCCGTTGCGATCCGCGGGATGATCCTCCAAGTAAACGCAACGAAAACAGCAAAACTTGCCAATGACAAAGAAGAGATGCGCAGCTCCCCATCGACGAAACGAACATCTGAAGCGTGTTTCATGTCAAAGACCAAGTTGATGTAACGCCCCTGCCGGCAGCTAACACTCAGCGTGGCCACTTCTGTCTTCATGCCCTGCTTGATCATCACAAAGGATACGCGATTCGTCTTGTTTTTAGAATGGAATTCGAAGCCTAGCGCTCAGGCAATAGGATTGCGTGAGCTGCAGCTGAAAAAGCTGAAATGTCAGACGTGATGGATAATGTGGCAGCAGCCTGACAACAACCGGGAATATTTATTATAAACCTCAATCGCCTCAAAAAATCGTCCAAAGACTACTGGGCAAATGTCAGCAACCTGTCGCGAAGGGAATTTGCTCAAGTGCAGCCATCTCTTTCTTTCCTACTGGAGACCAGCCAGTGGGGCCTTTAGCCCTCCACTTGCAGTCCTTGGCTCTCTGGCAATGCCCTTAATTGAGCACCTTGATGTTCGCAATGAACATCAAAGTGAAGTCTCTCATGGGGCACAATGGTTCAACTTCCGAAAAATCTGGATTTGTCGGAAAATTGAAGAGAAAATCCCTATTAAAATGGCTATTTGTGGCTATCCTCCCTTTTTAGGAAAGCCTCAAATATCATTTTTGGGATCTGTGGATGTGGGTCCCAGCCAAGAGTCAACGGAGGTGATTTCCAGCGACTGATGCAGCGAGCCACCCGACTTGTCCAGGAGCAGCAAGCCTCTGGTGTAGGACTGCTGGCTACTATAATGCGCATACACCTGCCAGTCTACCTCGCAGTGGCGAGGGAGGCTGTCAGTTTGATGGGGTGGCAGGGACAGCACATGATTTTTCGGGCACATATTCCATTCTTTTCGTGGTAGGTGCAGTGCGCAAGATCCTATAACCACGGTATAGTTTTACTTTAATACAAGAGTAGCAAAGACCGCATGTTTGGAAACTAAGCCTAATTTCCAATCCAATCTTTGATTCTAGTGGGTGCTTGTTGTTGGGGCTCTCCTAGTTTTCTGGGATCAAGACGTCTGCCTGTGGTGTGTTCGCAGTGTTCCTACTGTTGCTTTGCTGCATTGTGTTGCAATGCAAATGCCCTGGTCAGACAAAGCCCCGCTACAATGTAAAATCACAAGTCTAACCTTTTGCCTCTGGGTCGCACACGCTACCCTGTGTAGTCAGTTGACTCGAAGCATTTTCAGCCATATGAACCATGATGAGCCATGTACAAGTTGGCTCTGGACATTTTGATGAATGGTATGTTGATGCACAGGTTGCTTGTTGGTCGATTGGTTGCTGGATTCACCCCGTTCTCTACTGGCTAAAATTAAAGAAGCCAGCTGGGTACCCTGGAGATCGCCATTGGTTCTTATTGGTATCAATTGCAGGGTTACTTGGTCAACAAATAAAACACATAAGAAAAATCTATTCGTAAAAACATGTATTTTTCGATTTTTTTGAGGTGCGTGCACCTTTTGTTTAGCACTTGGACAATGGGGAAACACAAAGAAGGAATGACAAATGCTGTCGTAATGGCTACTGTAATGGTTAAGAACTAACCAACTAAGAACTTGAGGGTATCCTCGCTCACAATCCCTATATTTCTTTCACATATAGCAATAGCGCTTCAGAACCTGAGGGTACGCTGAAAAACTACTATTCGGTTCTTGCCCAATGGCTCCGCTGTAGCCAATTAGTTTGACTTAGAAAATAAGTCCACTTGAAGTTTGTGGGAAACACAACGTCGTAAACCCTCCCCAACGGAGGTTTATTATGGGGTATAGCCCTAGAAATACCCCAGCCATGGTTGGTTAGTTGGATGGTCAGCCCCACTGCACCAAGCCACATCGATGCTTGTCGAGGATTCGCTTTGAAATTTCGGAACATCGGCTTTCACGCCCGAGTACCTTTTCAGAAAGCTGCAGATTGGAAGGGGGTCTGATTGATGCATTGGTTCCGAAATTCCGCAAACGGGCTTGACTCAGATACCTCACCGGGCCCAACCTTTTCGGTTCGAATTTTTCAAGTGGTAAATCCACTACATACCATGGTCGCCTCCTGAAGTGACATGCAAACCTGGCACCGGGGGTGTTGAAGGCCATGGTACCTCCATATTGAAAAGGTGCCCTGGCTCATCATGATGTAGTGTCTTCCGTCCAGCGTTTTGATATGCGGGTCTCCGACAACCACTGCTTGGGTGCCACACAGTGTGAAGCCATTTATTTTGAACAATATAACCTTGGATTTGCGTACGAGGTCCCCCCCCTCCCAAATGATTAAATATTTGGTCATGTGGTGGGGAAACCGTAGGGAACACATAAAAGTCATAAAAAACAGACGACAAAGCGCAACTCCAAGCAACATCATCTCGGTCTGTGCCCGTGAAAAAGTTGACCCCCCCAAGTTCAGGTGGGGGGACGACAGCGCTAAGATCCAGAATGTTGTCTCCTTCAATAATTGTCTGACTCCCACGGATAGGAGACCCACCGATTTCTTTCGCGACATCATAACCAAATTCGGAAGTATTTCCCAAGAAGGTGATGTTGGCCGAAGAGACATTCAGCGTTGGAGGATCCGTGAAATCCACCGACACAAAAATGCCTGGAGTATTGCTCAAATTGCATAGTACTGGTGGAACTCCAAAAACCGATCTCGCTGGCACAGCGGAGCCATCAACGAGAATTGCGGAATTGCAATCTTCGCTGCCAGGGAAAGAGCTCTGAGTATTGATGGACTCAGTTCAGAAGCGATTGCAAACTACCAATGATGCATCAATCTCCGGCTTCACTATATAAGTTGGCTAGTTGTTGAAGTATGTCGAAGTCACAATGATGGTCCTATAAGCCGGTCCATATTCTAGAGTGGCGTCGTCAAATACAGAGTCGCGATGTGTCAACTTGTGAACTTTGCATGTCGAACAAGGTTTTCATTCGCAAGTCATGCGGAAAATACCGCATGTGCAAACAAAAACGCAGAAACGTACGGGGACTTGCGAATGCCCCTTTTTGGTCTCTAGCCATCGCGGATTCAAACCACCGTGGCAACACGCGGCAACAGCTGGCTCGGCCCAACAAGTTCCCCGTCAATTGCAGAGTTTCCAGAACACGAAGATTCATGGACTTTGGGGGAGTCTGCCATTGTCATCATGCGGCAACGAAAAGCAATAAAGCAAAAGAAGTCAACAATGCCACGGCTCTAATGTTAACGTTGGATTAAAAACACTGTTTTGAACAGAGTAAGCCATCCTCGCCGGAGGCAATAACAACCCCCATGTGAATAAAGATGAAGAAACTATATGTTTTTTGGTGAGATTTTTCAACTAGACATGTATTCGTTTTCAATTAGGCAGATTTTTCTTCAGCAATACTGTTTTGTTATTCGTAGTGGTTTTGAATTCGGCAAAATTTGTTGGGCAATACTGAAGGTCTCTGGCATGTTCCGCGACCGGTTTCTCCGGAGAAATCCGGTCCACATGGATTGATGTTGGGGATGGTGGTGATGCTGGGGATGATCCTGTTGCTTTACGAACATTAGAAAAGATATAGCCACATGTCAAGTCGCATCAATTCTTCCAATCAATTTTCACGGAGAGAAACATGGAGAGGAAAAACAGAAAGCAAAGACATTGAACAATAGAACGGCATGGGAGCAAAGAATACCAAACACACGTAGAAATGACAGGCATGGGAAAAAGAAGGAAAGGACGAATGGAAGCAAAGGTGGAAATGGAGAAAAGAAAACTGGGAGAAACACAGAACAGCCACCACTCAGACACTCGACCACAAATCAATCACCAGGAGATCCCGGAATGCTCGAACTGCCCATTCGCAGTTCAACACGTTTCCGCAACAAAAACGGCATGCGACTTCTCGTCGGCCGAGCATCGATTTGGCCCTTCGCACCGTTGCTCAACACGAAGTCGCCGGAATTGTCTATAGAGGTGAAGGTCAAATACTCTCCTCCACTTGGACAATCCTGGGCGGCTGGGCCAGTCACTGGCCTTCGACGACTCATGGAATGGGGCAGGTCATCCATCACATTCCATGGGAATCCTGCCGCTGGGCCGTTCTTCTTCATGGTATGTTCCCCCCAAAAACCCAATTCATGGGTTAAAATGAACGATGCCAAATGATTGTCCAGCTAGTCCGAATTGTCATAGCACACAGCGCCCGGATTTCCAAGCTTCCCCAGACCTTCTCAATTTTCTCAACTCTGTTTTCATTGCTTTGAGCTTCTCTTCCTGCCACGGGTTACCGTAAAGGTTGGGATGTCAGCACTGGCAAAATGAGGTAGGGGTCTGGTATGGTATGATCAACAAAATAGGGAGATAATCCCATAACAGAAGTATTGCACAAGGCGTTGGCGGAAGTTTCAAAGATAGGAAACCTATAGGAGAGGTGAAATGCTGTGATTCATGGATGGCAGGGCGAAGTGATGGACCGAAAGGTGGTTGAGGCCCTAAATCTCCTTCTATCTCCTTCTCTCTCCTTCTATCTGTCTTCTATCTGTCTTCTATCTGTCTTCTATCTGTCTTCTATCTGTCTTCTATCTGTCTTCTATCTGTCTTCTATCTGTCTTCTATCCGTCTTCTATCTGTCTTCTATCTGTCTTCTATCTGTCTTCTATCTGTCTCTCTGTCTCTTCCTCTCTCTCTCGCTCGATCTATCTATCTATCTATCTATCTGTCCCTGTCCCTGTCCCTGTCCCTGTCCCTGTCTCTGTCTCTGTTTGTCTGTTTGTCTGTTTGTCTGTTTGTCTCTTTGTCTGTTTGTCTTTCTGTCTTTCTGTCTATCTGTCTATCTGTCTATCTGTCTATCTGTGTATCTGTGTGTCTATCTGTCTATCTATCTGTCTATCTATCTGTCTCTCTATCCCTCTATCCCTCTATCTCTCTAGCTGTCTATCCGTCTATCCGTCTACCCGTCTATCCGTCTATCCGTCTGTCGATCTATCTATCTATCTATCGAACCATCCATCCATCCATCCATCCATCCATCTATCTATCTAATTGACGAACCAACTAACGAACTAATCAACTAACTAGCTAAGTAACTAACTAGCTAGCTAGCTAACTAACTATCTAGCTAACTAACTAACTTACTGGCTGGCTAACTGACTGACTGACTATCTGTCTATCTGACTCTGTCTCTATCTATCTAACTATCTATCTACCTATCTGTCTATCTGGAATCTCTAACTGCTACAATCCCACACGTTTAGCTCAATTTGTGAAGGTGCAGAAGCCATTTCGCCTGCCACAAAAAGAGATGGTTGAACGTCCAAAAGTGGTCCGAGCGTGGTGTGTTTTTCACATTTTGACTTCGCAAATGTGCTTCGCGCTGGAATGGCGTGCACTTTTTCAACATCCCAACTTGCACACTTGAACTTCGAAATGTGCTTCGCGTCACAGCGGCGTGCAGTTTTTGCACATCGCAACTTCCAAAAGCGGTCTGAGAATGAGGTGCTTTTACCTTTTTGACTTCCACATCCGCTTCGTGCCACAATCTTTGATCGCTCATCCTGCACATGGCTCCGCACGCGCCGATTTAGCGAACCTACTTTTCGATCCTCCACAGCCAAAAAACATTGGAAAAAAACATTGCGCACCTTGGGATTCTTTCTGCTGCCTCTTTCTCTTCTGCCTCTTTCTCCTCTGACTCTTTCTCTTCTGACTCTTCTCTTCTCTGACTGCTCTCACCACTGTTGCTCCATCTGTCCATAAGTCGGAAGTTTGACTTCTAAACTTCCTTCGACTAGTAAAACACATATGACAAACGGGCGGATGCCCCACTAGAGTTACACTCAGGTAATCAAACATGGCTTGCTGGAAAATCAACCATTTAGTTTTCCTTGAAAGGCCCGAAGACTCGGGGGGATTTCCCAGGCTATCAATGACCCCGGCCAGTTTTGGTTGCGGCAAGCCTCAGCTTTCAAGTTGTCCCGTAGCTCATCAATCTTCTTCTTCTTCGACGCCGAGCGGTTTGAGCCCAACAACTCCAAGGCTTGCCCGGCTCCGGCGGGCCTTGGAGCGAACACAAAAGAAACACGGACTCCAAAAGTTTACTCAAATCGTGGGTTAAAAACACCCCAGTTTCGTGATCTGAAGATGTATATCATTGTATATCATTGTATACCCTCTGGTAAACTAACAGTTTGCGATTGAAAATGGCCCATTTATAGTTGATTTACCTATTAAAGATGGTGATTTCCATAGCTATGTTAGTTTACCAGAGGGTATCAGATATGAAGTATCACTGACTATCACTGTACATCTGAAAGCCAGGGAGCTCACTGCGTTGCAACCAGCAGCTGGGATCCGACTCCAGCGGCTCGGGCGGCTCCAGCGCAAGGAGTTGGCTGAAAGACGTGAAGATCACCAGAGAAGGGACCAACATTTTGAGACATGGCGGATATGGATGCATCTTGGGGACAAGATTGGACCACAAAGGGCTGCCCGGAATTTGTCGAATTTGTCGTGCTGAGCTGACAAAGGTAGGCTTTGAAAAAGGCCATTTTGGCTACGAAGTATGGGGACTATGGGGACCCAACTGCGACCTGTACCCATTTTGGATTCCAACGGGTTTTCAACGACTCTTTTCTTCTGCGGCGATAGTCGTTCAGCTGCCAAACAGCCATGGACTAGAGACATGTCCAAAGAATAGCATGTCGACCTGCTGAGTGGTAAGGGTATATGCTTCCAAGTCGGCACGTTTCCAATCAATTGCTTCACTGGTTGATCCATGTATAAAACATACCATCTAGTTATATCTAGTTGGCTATGGTTGTGTCTTAAAATTGGGCGCCCAGCAAATGATTGATGGTGGATGATCATTTCTCCCAGGAGCCAAAAAAGTGCTGGCATCCCCTCACACCTTCCAAATAATCTCTGTTGTATTGCTCATATTTCATCCCATATTTTATGCCAAAACACCACAGAAATTCACAGACATATACCGTATTCAATATGATGTTTACATGGCAATGGAAAACCACCATTTAGCTCAATGACATTTTATCGTTAAAACCGCATTTTTGGACAATTTTCCACTATTTTTCCCATGTTTTCTCCTATGAAACCTTCATTGAGTTTGGGGAGTAACTTAGCGATCAGCCCGTCATGGAACTGACGTATATCTTCAGCTCCAGACTTTTGTACCATCCAGCAAGCAAACATGGCTTGCTGGAAAACATGGCCAATCTTGGATATCCTGCAAAAAAGTAATAAATTCTTAGCTGGTGAACGTAGATAATCCCATTGATACCAAAAGACGACAGTAGGATTAGTCCCTACCCATCCAGTCGATTGACCTAGAAAATCCACCATTTACTTCGATGTTTTTCCAATGAAAACACCTGGGAATTGAGGACATCCGGACATCCACGAGATATCATCATGTTATCTAGGATCATCATGCCATGGATATCATGGATATCGACACTTTCTATTGCGAGGCACTTTTTCCATGTTCCTCAATATCCAGTAACATCCACCAAGAAAAGCAAGCTCTTCCAATTTGTCGAGTCATCGTGCCGAAAAATAGATGCAAAAAAAGGCCCCCCCAAACATTATGTAAGTTTATACAAGCCATTAACTAAAGTTATATATATCTACCATTGAATTCACCTAGTTATGAGTCAACTTCGCAGAAAAACGGGGGCCCCAAACTGTACCACCAAAAATGCCTCAGACTTTGCTGTTAACCTTGCTGTAATTCATTTCACACCTCCATAGACATCTGGGGGCTGGATTTTAGGGGGATGGGATTGAGGACTCCTCGTTTTTTCGGGTGAATTCTGCTTAAGAACCCCACATTGCACCCACAGTTGGTCGTTGGACTGTCCCCGGCTTGATCAACATCCACTTGGATGTGCGGTCTCCAACAATCACAGATTCCCAGCAGGTTCCAAATTACAACAAGCCACAAAAAAATGCAGAATATTTCCAGGAAATTGTCAATGACGTTATCTGGGATTACCCCCCAAATCCCATAGCTTTGAAATTTGTCTATTTATTTTTTTCTGACTACCAGCGCCCCGAAAAAAGATCGAACTGTATCCAACTACCCTCTGGTCAACTAACAGTCTGCGAAGTTGAAAATTGCTACGTATAGTTGATTTACCCATTGAAAATGGTGATTTTCCATAGTTATGTTAGTTTACCAGAGGCTAAAATAATGACCAATGACACGTTCTGTCTTCTTTTTGGGGGGTAAAGCCATTTCCGGACGCATCAAATGCTACTGACCCCCTTTGGGGTCAGTAAAACTCACCACGGTCGCAACTCCGAGTCGAGAAATCTCGCTCTCAATAGCGACGCCTTGGACTAGGGGGCTTTGGCAGTGAATCATCCCCAATTTTACCATCATTGGGTGGTATAAACCCTCAACATATGGGTGGTTCATTGTTGCTTTACGAACAAAAAACCACGAAATGTGAGGATACTTAGTGGGATCTAATGGGATACTCCCTAACAATCTTTGGGTATATGAAGGATTTATGAGTAGTACCCCCTCAAAGAAAAGGCTCACTTTGACGATTCCCAGGTGGATTCCAGGATTTCTCGAACATTTTTACCTTTTTGGCCGTTGATCTTACCCTCTGGTAAACGTTTACATAAAACTATGGAAAGATCCAACATTTTTAATGGACACATCAACTATTTCTATAGCCATTTTCAAGTTCGCCGACTGTAAACGTTTACCAGAAGGTAGGGCGTATTGACTGAACAGGGGAAGAGACCCCCATTCCATGCCCTGGTGAATCATCGTTTTCCCCAAGGAAAATGGCCAATTGGGTATCGACATTTTCACACGAACAACAACATGCAGCAATCATGTGACACTTGGATACCCCAAGAAGTGAACAACGACATGAAATCATAATGAACCCCTCTAAGGTTAAGGTTTTGATGTCAAATCGGGATTTGCTGGGGATATATAACGGTATAAACAACAAGGTTGACATCATCCAATGCCGATCAATACCGTAATCTTTCATATGGCTAACCTCAGAGACCCAATAAAAAGGTTGACATGGATAAATAGGAGATCACATATTCCTCCATCAAATATGTATCATATAAATTCATATAAACAGACCCATTCATCTACCACAAAAAAGGGGTACTCTCTGGTAAACTAACATAGCTATGGAAAATCACAATCTTTAATAGGTAAATCAACTATAAATGGGCCATCTATACCATAGCTATGCTAAATTACCAGAGGGTACGTGCTTGAGCAACTCATCAAAATGATCATGTTGCGAAAAGGTCCGCAGCCGTGAAGGTTTTGATCCTGCCTGTATGTCTATATCTACCGCCAGATATAGCCCCAAATAGATTTAACACATGAGGGACGCGAACATCATTTTTTAGGGGTTCCTATGTATACTTGTACACATATACTATCTATGCATATGCTCTAGATGCATATACATCATTGCATGTATGTATGTAGGGCACATTTTCAGCTCATTCACATGTTCCAATCATTTTCACTTCAGGTGTTCCTTCCATCTTTGAGTTTCTCCTAAACGCGGACCCAGTGCAATCATACACAGATACCATAAACATAAGTTATGTAGACATATGTATGTATGCATGTATGTATGGATGGATGGATGTATGGATGTATGCATGTATGTACGTACGTACGAACGTACGTACATACGTATGTATATAGTCATCCTGCAGATATATACAGTCATCCTGCAATAGATACAATCTGGACATTTCAGAAAACCCTCACAAAAATGGGTATATGTCTGAACATCCCATATTCTATCGACTTCAGGATCATGATATATGTATATATATACACTTATCCCCAAATATAAGCCGTATATATATATATGTATATGTATATGGAGCCACACACACATATATATATATAAATACACAGTATATACCTATAAAAACATAAATATAATTCCACATATATACATATGTATCAACATAATATATATAATATATACACATCAGGATTTAATGTATACAGATTATATATACACATACACGCACATCCGATGTTTTTCTCTGGTGGGAGTACCAAGCTCCCCACGGGTTCCGGCGACAGCAGCAGCAGTGGAAATCCCCGCGAAACTGGCGGAGTTTGGCTTCCTTGAACTGACCCCGGAGTGGCTGGACCCCGGTTTTCTTTGGTGGGGAAAAATGGGTTTTCTGATAGACAAGAAATATGGATTGATGGATTTATGATGGATATGTTTGGGGTTTAATGGGATTTATGATGGATTGATGTAATTTTTTGGAGGCTGCAGCCCAGTAAGTGGTTCATAGCCATTTTTGGTCCAAGCTGGTCCATGTTCAACCTCTAACCTTGGAGGGTTTGTGGTCATAAAATTGTGGTTTTGTGGTACCAGAGGGCGTTAAAAACCATGGAAAATCCCAACAAACAAGCAATCCAATCTGGTTGGTGGTTTCAACCCCTCTGAAAAATATGAGTTCGTCAATGGGAAGGATTATCCCATATATTATGGACAATAAAACATGTTTGAAACCACCAAACAGCAATTTTATCTAGATAACACTATGCAGATTTCGTTCGAAAGGCACTCCCAAATCATTGCCTTTCCCGTAAACATTGCCAATCTTAGATACCCTGCAAAAAATGACAAGTTCTTTGCTGGTGAACGTAGATATTCCCATTAATACCAAAAGACTAGTTAGGATTAAAGTATCCATGTAAGATTGACCTAGACAAGAATGACCAATTTCGGAAGACACAACTGGGGGGTCTCCATTTGTCAACTGCGACCCTGGTGAAATCTCATCACAAATGGGGAAAGCTGGGGGTTACTGCATGATATCCTTTATTTCAATGGATTTGAATGGAGATTTATAATACCCTTTATTTGGGGATTTGGGGTTTACTGGATTATGTGACTTTTCGATCTCAATGAGAATTGATAAGGATTTGATGATATGTGAAAATCTGATTTTAATGGGTGTTGAATTGGATTTTAAAATGTTCAATGACAACCTATTAAGAAAGAGATATACGCGAAGTATTTATCCCCAGTTACAAGTCGGTTTATGCTGCCCCATCTAATTAGTTCGATATAACCACCATAAAACCCATCAGATCGTCTGACTAAAAAAAGTTGTCAGAAAGCTTACCTATCATGACTCATGAATCAAGTACCTACATCGCTTTTTATATATCTTTTCATGCTTGAATTGTGCTTGGTTCACTCCCAATTTTCTCCATTTTTCATAGGTAGATCACGGTAGATCCACGTTTTCCGGTCGGAAAATACCCCGGTGCCATGGTGACATGGTGATCCCCGGACTGCGTCTCGACAATGCGTCTCGACAAGTGGCGATTGCTTCATCGGAGTCGTCGATCTGAGGCAAATCCATGGTCTAATGGTCCCAGTTCTGGTTCTAGTTACCATATGTTATGAGATGTTATGAGATTCCAGAAACTCTAAGTATAGATACTTAGATATCATAAAATGATAGTTCATGGTTTAAAACTAATTATAGTTGTCCCAGAGAGGTGTTAAGAAACTAATTATAGAGGTTGTGATCCCAGCTATACTTGAATAATCTGGAATATGAATCACGGTATAACTGGTTTCAAGCCAGTGCAGCTTCAACGTTCAAGCGGATCTTCGACTTTTTTGCCAAGCCGAGGCAGTTTTTGGAAATTGAAGAGGCCACATATCTGCATTAACTGTGGTTGCATACATCCCACTATATACCAATACATCCCCCTCATATCCGCATTATACTGTTCAAACACGGACCAATATAATCACGCAACGCCAAGGTTTTTGAATCACTGCTCAGTTTTCCAACGTCCGTTCTATCTCCATAAAACGGTTAACTTATAGCCGTATGTTTGCGGAAAAACATTCAGTGTCACTTGAAGACTTGCTCTCCATGAATGGGTTACTCTCTGGTAAACATACACAAAACTATGGAACATCACCATTTTTAATGGGAAAGCCCACTATTTCTATGGCCATTTTCAATATAGCTTTTGGTATGTTTATCAGGCCGGGTAATTACCCATCATATCCTCCTTGATCCACCACTTCATTCACGCTTGGTGCACCTCGTCCAACGTCCATTCCACTTCCCACATGTGGGTCAACACATGTTTTTTTTTTGTGTATGGCCATCGATGCCATCATGGGAATCACAATGGATATGTAAATCACTATTAATCAATGGGAGATCTTCAGGATCCGATTGATTGGAGGTACCGATTCCATATATAAGGCCTATTTTTCAGGCCTATGTAAGGGAATATCCCAGCAAAATATGGCCAGAAATATGGTACTAACGTACCTCCATTTTAGGATCCTGGAATTCCCATTGAATTAATGGATTGATGACCATTCCCCAATCTGGGTATGTAATCCAACTTTTGACGCACCTGATGCACACATGGTGATGGTCAAATTTTGAAACTGCCTAAAGACGATCCGAAAAACGAGGTTTTACACTAGTGTTGGTCACGTATCCCATGATATCCCATTATATCCTGAAATATCACCATGATATCACCATGACCTTATCATTACCAACACCCATCTCCCAACAAAAATAGATGCACCTCGACCTTAGGCACTTCCTCCTTTACATCGGGTCGATCATCGTAGAGGCTCTTGGCTTCAGCTTTCCTAGCGCCGAGGCACATCTTGGCTTCAACGTGCGGAGTGGGGATGGCTGATGGGGATATCATATAAACATTTAAATAGATAAATATATATGTGTATATATATATGTATTATGATATACGTATATGTAAGTCAAAGTATCATCGGCACATTGTGGGTCTTGATATATAGGATACTGAAAACATGCGGGCTCAGCCATCAAAAATTGATGTTTCATGTGGTAAAACGTTAGTCTGAAATGGACATGTATAATCAAGATGGGAAACGTGGGAGATGGAGATGGGAAAATAGGGATATTGGGGAGATACACTGGGCAAATGGGGCCCCATGACAAACAAAAAAGTGGAGTTTGAAGCTTGGTTCCTCAGGATAGGATGGTTCCCTAGCGGATTCAATGGTCATGGTTAACACTCACATATCGTGGAAGAAAAACATGGATATGAGTGGTGGGTTTGATTGATAAAATACGCAGCTTTTTTCCTGTGTGTTTCTATGAATTTTCTCCCTCCATAATCAATATTTTTTTCCATGCAACACATAAAGGATGTAAAAAATATTCTAAACCAAACATATGATGCTTAGTAACACTAAGAGATGAGTGGGGGATTGATAGAAATCCCAGGGGACGATGTTGACGTCTTGCAATGTGTTTAACTCCGCATTCCACTTCCACTTCGGCCGAAGGTTGAAGCAAGGATGGGAAAGAATGGGACATGATGGGAAATACCCTCTGGTAATTTAATATAGCCATAGAAAATGGCCCATTTATAGTTGATTTACCTATTAAAAAATGTGATTTTCAGCATCTTGGCAACTGCCAAGCCAGTTTCATGAGCACTTGCCAATCCGGATTTGTCCAGGAAACCCCAAAACATGAACGCCACTGGTTGGTGGTTGAGCCCTACCCCTCTGAAAAATATGAGTTCGTCAGTTGGGATGATGAAATTCCCAATCTATGGAAAAATAAAACATGTTCCAAACCACCAATCAGATTTGAGTATCCCCTTTTTGAGACCACTGACAATGTTGTGTTTATTCGACAAATAAACCATACACAATCTGTGTTTATCATTGAGTATCTGCAATACGAGAAACGGTTGTTTGCGACTCCGCTTATGAAAAACCCATCCAGTTTGAATACCTGGCCCAACCAGGGTGGGAAGTATTGAATAGTGGGGAGGGATTCTTTTGCCGCCATTATCAACCGTTAACCAATATATCAAACCAATATCAACCACAATTATTGGGTTCACTCCATTCTTTTGGCTTGCAGCTTCACAACGGACTCTGCCGTTGGCCGACGCCTGTTGAAGATCTTTTGGCATTTCTCCTGTGGGCCCGAAGTTTTAGGCTGGACGTGCTCAAAACCTCAAGGAACAAGAAATACAGCTGCCAAAGGTAAAACCAATGTACGAACATTTAGAATATGTAGATATCTATCTATCTATCCATCTATCTATCTATCAATGTATCTATCCAAATCCATCTATCCATCTATCCATCTATCAATCGATCAATCTTTCAATCGATCAATCAAGCAATCGATCAATCAACGTATTTATGTTCTCTAGGTTCTCTATGTTCTCTATCTTCGCTATCTAATCTTTCTGATCTATCGAATCTATCCAGTCTATCCAAAATATGAAATCTATTTAATATACTTTAATCTGATCTAATCCAATCCAATCGAATCAAATCTAAGCTATCTAATCTATCTAATATCTTTATCTAATGTCTAAACTATAAAAACTATCTATCTCTATCTATCTATCTCTATCTCATCTATCTATCTCTATCTCATCTATCTCTATCTATCTGCATCTATCTATCTATCTATCCATCCATCTATCTCTATCTATCCATCTTTCTTTCATTCTACCTGATCTGGTCCAATCTGAACTGATCAGATCTTATCCATCTATTTATCTCTTCACATATGTACAGAGGTGACTAGAAGAATGATAGCGATGATGGGTGGTGGTGGTGGACTCTTCCACTTAGCCCATCTCTAGTCCCAGGTCGCAACCGTTGCCTTCTCTCGTGCGTTGAAGCGCCGCAAGTCCAAGAGGTAGTGGCGCACCTGCGGCCAACCAAGTCACAATCCCGGAGCACTGTGGCCATGTTTGATATATCACCAGAAATCTCAGGCACATCGGTTATAATGTTGAATGGTGATTAATGGTGATTAATGGTTATTAATGGTGATTAATGGTTATTAATGGTTATTAATGGCTATGAATGGTTATTAATGGTTATTAATGGTTATGAATGGTTATTAATGGCTATTATTGGTTATTAATGGTTATGAATGGTTATTAATGGTTATGAATGGTTATTAATGGTTATACATGGTTACTCATGGTTATTAATGGTTATTAATGGTTATTAATGGTTATGAATGGTTATGAATGGTTATTAATGGTTATGAATGGTTATTAATGGTTATTAATGGTTATGAATGGTTATTAATGGTTATGAATGGTTATGAATGGTTATGAATGGTTATGAATGGTTATAAATGGTTATTAATGGTTATTAATGGTTATTAATGGTTATTAATGGTTATTAATGGTTATGAAGTGTTATTAATGGTTATTAATGGTTATGAATGGTTATTAATGGTTATTAGTGGTTATTAATGGTTATTAATGGTTATTAATGGTTATGAATGGTTATGAATGGTTATGAATGGTTATTAATGGTTATTAATGGTTATGAATGGTTATTAATGGTTATTAATGGTTATTAATGGTTATTAATGGTTATAAATGGTTATGAATGGTTATTAATGGTTATTAATGGTTATTAATGGTTATTAATGGTTACTAATGGTTATTAATGGTTATAAATGGTTATTAATGGTTATTAATGTTATTAATGTTATTAATGTTGAATGACTATCTGGTTGGTGGTGTAATAACCATCTTGAAAAATGATGGGAGTTCGTCAATGGGAAGGATAACATCCCATATATGAAATGGAACATGAAAACATGTTGGAAACCACCAACCAGCAATTATCAACCACATTAGCTATGATTTGGGATCCCCCTTCCTGTAGCAACACCAAGATCGACAGGCTCATATTGTGACCACAGCGCCGAGACACCCGTCGGTCCAGGTCGTTCATCGCTGCCACCTGTGCTTTGGTTGCGGATCTCAGTTACTAACTTGTTGATCACCACTGTAGCCCGCATAAAACTGAGGATAGTCGACATATAGAGTTGGGACTGGACATGGCTTATACCCACCATTTCATGCCATGACAATAGGAACGTTGTGGGGATGCTACACATTGATCAAAGGTAATGTTTTCCTCAAATCAAATTGTGTTTCCGATCAAACCATTATCTACGAGGTTGTTTGAGGTCGCAAAGGGAACTATCTAAACCGCCTATTCGAACAATCCAGTAATTCAAAAAAAACACATTTCCTAAACGGATTGACGACCCCCAAACGTGGGATCCAATCTTGACCCACGAAATATTGTCGGCATATTCCACTATATATATATGAATATATATATATATATTCTGTGTATATGTAGCCGAACATATGTCATTATATACCGTTATATATATATATGAAATACACCCTTTCGATCTACATCTACATGAGGGCGAATTCCCATCTTTATCATTTGTTCATCTCCTGTACAGTGGAATGACCATCCAAAGATACTCAGCGCTTCTTTTTTGTGGACAATTCCGTCCCTTAAACCCAAGGCAAATGTGCATTAATAAGCTATTGGGCAAATTTAATCAACTATTCCATCAAAATCACCAAATGAGTAACCTCAGAAAAATAAACAACTCACCATGGGAAGGCCCTCCACTTATGTTTGCTGCTTTATCTTACCCTATCAAGACACTACTTTGCCATCTCCCCAAAAAATCGAAATCCAAGTTAGCTAAACTATGTTTACACTATATTTTGTCTCAATTTTACCAACATTTTACCAGCATTTTCTCGATTTTGCCCCATTTTCCCAGCGGTTTGAAAAATGGACTGTGACCTCTTCGCGAGGCTTGTCTCGCACAGCCTGGCGCCATGGCGCCATCTTTCGGGTGCTGCCCTGTGAGAACAACTAGCAATTGTGTTGTGATCAAAATGATATAACTATAGTAACTATAGCAACTATAGCAACTATAGTAACTATAGTAAATGTAGTAACTGTAGTAACTGTAGCAACTATAGCAACTGTAGTAACTATAGCAACTATAGCAACTGTAGTAACTATAGCAACTATAGCAACTATAGCAACTATAGCAACTATAGTAACTATAGTGAATGTAGTAACTGTAGTAACTGTAGCAACTATAGCAACTGTAGTAACTATAGCAACTATAGCAACTATAGCAACTAATGTAACTGTAGTAACTGTAGTAACTGTAGTAACTGAAGCAACTATAGCCACTATAGCAACTATAGTAACTATAGTAACTGTAGCAAGTGTAGCAACTATAGCAACTATAGCATCTATAGTTATAGTGACTATAGTAACTGTAGTAACTATAGTAACTGTAACAACTATAGCAACTACAGCAACTATAGCAACTATAGTTTTAGTAGCAATAGTAACTATAGAAAGTAACTATAGTAACTGTAGTAACTGTAGTAACTTCAGCAACTATAGCAACTATAGCAACTATAGTCACTATAGTCACTGTAGTAACTGTAGTAACTGTAGCAACTATAGCAACTATAGCAAGTATAGTAACTATAGTAACTATAGTAACTGTAGTAACTGTAGAAACTGTAGCAACTATAGCAACTATAGAAACTATAGCAACTCTAGCAACTATAGTAACTATAGTAACTATAGTCAATGTAGCAACTGTAGCAACTATAGTAACTATAGTAACTATAGTAACTATAGAAACTGTAGCAACTGTAGCAACTATAGCAACTATAGCAACTATAGTAACTATAGTGACTGTAGCAACTGCAGCAACTGTAGAAACTATAGCAACTATAGCAACTATAGTTATAGTAACTAAAGTGACTGTAGGAACTGTAGT